CCAACAAGCCAAGCCAACAATTCAGTTCTACCAACAGCCAAGCCAACAAGCAACAAGTTCTACTCTAAAAATTCCACTTTTCAAAAGCAAAATTTGATGAAGAATCTTTTAAAACCAACCTTAAGTCAACCCTGTGTTAATTTGAAAAAGTGTCAATAATGCGTTAATAATGCGTTGGCAGTATTTGCCACACTAACTTCCTCAACTTTACTTTAGTGTTGAGCATGTTGAAACATAAAGAAAATCTCGGCTAACTTCTATAGGGAAGATTTCAAAACTTCTACCAAAATTCGAAAATTTCAAAACTTCTACGACTCATATAGGTCAAAAATGAATCGAAAAAGAATATCCGGTGATTTTAAAACTCTGTATGATTCAATTCCACTCAAGAGACCCCAAAAATCTCTTTCAGGTGTTCGTCCGGCGATGAATCGAGCTCGTCGCTGCATCAAGGTCGACTCATATGGTAAGTGGGAATAGACAAAAAGTGAAAAAGAGTGTTTTGGAGAATTAGGCCATTTTATGTAGTGGCTTCGGATTAGTCATGGCTTTTTTGTTGGGAAATACATGGATTTTTGAGAAGAATGTGAATTTTAGCCTTATTATTTGTTAGTTGTTAGAAATATTGATATTTCGAAATAAAGTACCTACCGTAAATACTGTAATAGTACCCCAGTCCCATAATGACGGTGCGGAGTGTTGAGTAGTCTAGCTTTGAACGAGCTTTTCTCGACACTGGTTTATGCTACAATGCGCGCTTAGGTATCAAAAAATAGCCCTGAATTTCAGCTATTTTTTTGATACCTATTTGATACCTGTAGCATAAACCAGTGTCGAGAAAAACGCGCCCAAAGCTAAACTACGCAACGCTCCGCACCGTCATTATGGGGTTGGGGCACTACTACAGTATTTACGGTAGCTATTTTTATCTTAATCAATATCTTTGCTTTTAAAGCTAACTAACTAGCTAGTTTCAATTTTATTAACATTGATTTGACGGAATTTGGTAAAGAAATTCGTCTGTCTTCTCACGAAAATTCTGTCCTTTTTAGAATCCTCTCTAAAAAGCCTCTTATTTGATTTATTTTTTGATTATTTTATAAGTGTTTATAGCCAAAAGATAGCCAATCTTATACTATTACAGTATTTACGGTAGTACTTATCATTAGATTTAATCAAACCGCCAACTGGCTAAAGTTCAGCTTTACCTTCAAGTTCCCCTTTACCTTCAAGTTCCCCTTTACCTTCAAGTTCAGCTTTACCTTCAAGTTCCCCTTTACCTTCAAGTTCAGCTTTACCTTCAAGTTCCCCTTTACCTTCAAGTTCAGCTTTACCTTCAAGTTCCCCTTTACCTTCAAGTTCAGCTTTACCTTCAAGTTCCCCTTTACCTTCAAGTTCAGCTTTACCTTCAAGTTCCCCTTTACCTTCAAGTTCCCCTTTACCTTCAAGTTCAGCTTTACCTTCAAGTTCAGCTTTACCTTCAAGTTCCCCTTTACCTTCAAGTTCAGCTTTACCTTCAAGTTCCCCTTTACCTTCAAGTTCCCCTTTACCTTCAAGTTCAGCTTTACCTTCAAGTTCAGCTTTACCTTCAAGTTCCCCTTTACCTTCAAGTTCAGCTTTACCTTCAAGTTCCCCTTTACCTTCAAGTTCCCCTTTACCTTCAAGTTCAGCTTTACCTTCAAGTTCAGCTTTACCTTCAAGTTCCCCTTTACCTTCAAGTTCAGCTTTACCTTCAAGTTCAGCTTTACCTTCAAGTTCCCCTTTACCTTCAAGTTCAGCTTTACCTTCAAGTTCAGCTTTACCTTCAAGTTCCCCTTTACCTTCAAGTTCAGCTTTACCTTCAAGTTCAGCTTTACCTTCAAGTTCCCCTTTACCTTCAAGTTCAGCTTTACCTTCAAGTTCAGCTTTACCTTCAAGTTCCCCTTTACCTTCAAGTTCAGCTTTACCTTCAAGTTCCCCTTTACCTTCAAGTTCAGCTTTACCAGTTAAAATCTCATTGATAAAAGTTAGATCGATCTTAATCTCTCAAAATTGAAACTCAATAGTTTAACTAGTCAAAACTAGTCAAAATTTGCTCTTTTTACTATACCACTTTCATTTTTGGATTAAAATACAATGAAAAATGCACAGAAATAAAGAAAACTCGAGTATAATGGATAACTAAACAGTTATTGAGAGAGAAACTTATTGAGAGAGAAACTTATAGGAGAAGAAACTTATAGAGAAACAAGTTCAAATTGGGATAAATATATCCAAATCTGTAGCTGCAGCAACTGATAAATTGTTAAACATCGAATTTTCAGGCGAATGGTTTCAATCGTGTTGCAAGCAATATGGCCGAGCCGTTTGCAAGAAGCCGGCGCCTCGTCTTTTCTCCTCGACCACCACAACAACCACGCCGAGACCCACAACGACTTATGGACTGGACCCGGCTTGGACCAAGGTCTACAAGCACAAATATTATTGGCGACCACCTAGCGATTTCAAGTGGTAGATTGACTATGGGATTCGAGAGTGTGTTCCCTAAAGTAAGGCGAAAACAAGAACTGTTTGCTAAAACGTGAAATTGACTCGTTTTCGGGGGTGGGACAAATGCGACCTTTTTTTTGCGCACCTGGACATTTGCGCACCTTTTTTTTGCTGGAAAAGGCCTTAGGAAAGGTCGTAGAGCTTCAAAAATGTTTCCATACTGGGGAATCGTATGCGTAGATTCCGAATTTCGACAAATCAAAGCAAATCAGACCTCGCTGACACGTTAAATTTGAGCTAAAAGGCAAAAACTACGCAACTTAACGCTTTTCCGCAGTTTTTGCCTTTTAGCCCAAATTTGACGTGTCAGCGAGGTGTGATTTGTCGAAATTCGGAATCTACGCATACGATTCCCTGACATGGAAACATTTTTGAAGCTCTACGACCTTTCCTAAGGCCTTTTCCAGCAAAAAAAAGGTGCGCAAACGTCCGGGTGCGCAAATGTCCAGGTGCGCAAAAAAAAGGTCGCATTTGTCCCACCTGCCTCGTTTTCTATCAAAAGCCCATGTCTAGAACACAATCTATTCAATAATCTTCAATTCAACACCCAAATCCCCATTTATTAGTTGCCTAAAATTGTGAAATTACTTTGTCATTCATTTTCAAAGTTCCTCTTTACCCTGTCTACTTGACAAAACGCTTTTTCTTCCCATCGAATTCCTCGTTTTCCCTAGCATAACTATTATGATCTCTTTTGCTTTATTTGTCAAAAAAAAAAATTAATTTTGCCACACAAAATGTGATCCCCTTTCTTGTCTTTTCCGATAAAAACTTGCACTTTCCTTTTGCTCAGGGATCGAAAAACGAAATTCATGCAAATATGCATTCAGTAATTTGAATTTCCGTATTTAACTTGCATTTATCGCTTTGAATTTCTGTATTTACATGTAGAGTTGTCATAAATAAAAGTTTGAAACAAAACAAATCATCCATTCGCATCTCAAATTTTTATGCAACGCACTCGCTGGTTGTTCTATTGTTTCACCGCTCATCTTGTACTTGTTTGGGGTTTTGTTGAGCAACAACAAATGCACATAAGAACGGTGGCATAGGTGGCTACTTTGTGCCTAATTTTTTGCGCAACTCGCTATAACTTTCTTCTAAGTTGGCCTATACTTTTGAAAGCGGCTCTTTGTTGCGTAAAATGGTAGAGATTTTAAGCAGAATGCTTTGAAATTGACGAAACAGATGAGCTTTCTAACTCTACTTTATTCATATTTTGTGAAAAAAGTCAAAAGTCGAATTAAAAACAATAATAGAAACTTGAAAATGACAACAAATGCACATAAGAACGGGGGTGGCTACTTTGTGTCAAATTTTTTGCGCAACTCTCCATAACTTCTTTCTAAGTTGGCCAATCTTTATGATTTTGGTTTCATTTTGTTGCACTTGTTGAGATCTACAAAATGGCCCAAAATTCATAAAGATTGGTCCACTTAGCAGAAAGTTATGGAGAGTTGCGCAAAAAAAATGGCGCAAAGTAGCCACACAAGAACGGTAGATTTCGGGCAATCAAATAAACAATGTTTTAATTGAGCTCTCTTCTGCTTTTTGTACATTTTGTAACAATCTTGCATACCTAGCTTGTATATCTTGAATCTTGTATAAGGAGAGTCGTATATTTTGCATTTTTAGGAAGAGTCAAATCGGTCGAAACGATCCGCGCCTGGGAGTCATCATTTCATCTCGCTCCATTTGATTTACTCGACCCACTTCCACGCGACACAAACAATGAAAGCATTTGGTGTAAGGTGAATATTTCGAAATTTGTCACTTAAATGGGTTCTGATATACTTGTTAACTAGTTGAATGACATTTAATTTTAAGAATATGACTTACATTGATGTACAAGTTATCCCAATATTTCTTGCAACTTTTCAGGAGATTCACTGAAAGCTGGCTCGATTATTGAATGGGAATTTATCGGCGCTCCCGTGGATCTCCTTATTTTGCAAGCGAAGTAGCGTTCTCGTTTTTAGCATATTTTTGTTTCAGGTGTGGAACGAAAGCTGATGCACCTGCGTGTTTTTGTGTTGTTGCACCGCGTCAAGCTGATGCAATTTTTATGTTTTCCATTGATTGACGCAATTTAACAAATGGTTTATTATGCTAAAATTTACTTGGAGCAATACTGTCGATATGGAACACTAGTTCACCCGAGAAAAATATGAACGGTTAATTATGCAGCTACGAATGATAACACCGGAGTGGAAAAAAAATAACAAAATATTGTACAAAAAATTTTGTACAAGAAAATGTGAGTAAAGCAATAATACAGTGAAAGGAAAGGCAAGATTGATAAAAGACTGCGAAAAGTGAGGATCAATATTAATTAGTAAAAGCTTTAGTGTAAAACTACAAAAGTTAAGATGCTATAGTCATTTAATATTATGAAAAACGTATGAATTCAATAGGCTTTTTATTAGACTTGTTATCGATAGACAAGTCGTACTGTTACATTAAATCAACTAGTTGGCATTTTGCCGATAAGCAAGCCTAAGTTTTGTCAATAAATGAAGTTCGGGCTTAACATACCACAAAGTTCGTGTAATACGGCCTATTATCTCCGTTGCGTTACAGCTTTCTGGATGAGTGGCACAATCGAATCCTTTGTCGATGAACCTTTGATGAATGGATGTGAAAGAAGTTGCTCGCAATTCCATCTGTAAAATGCAAACAATTTAATAAATCTTTGACGTCGTTACCTCAACTGGGCCTCTTTCAGCAAGCATCGTGAAACAAAGTCATTTAGAAACATTGAGCTCTAAAATGTTTTGAAGTTAAGTTATGGTTTCAAATTTATATACCTGTGCTTCTGGATTGAGTCTTGGTGGTGGATTGTCGCGAATCATTTTAAGGGCCTAAATTGAAAAACATGAAAGAGAATTCTATTCCGTGATGATTGTGCAAACACAAACCGCCATGGGATCCTCATTAAAAAGTGGTGGCTCTCCCTCGACCATCTCGATTAGCATGATGCCAAAAGACCAAACATCAGCAGAAGTGTCATAAGGTTGACGAGAGATTACCTAAACAAGAACTTTAATTTAATCAAAAACTTTTGCTGACTAAAAACAACCTCTGGGCCAGTCCAATAGGGCGTTCCAACGAGGCTCCGCCTTCGAGGAATATCCGTCGATAGCTGTCCACAAAAGCCAAAGTCGCTAATTTTCGCTGTTCCATCAAACTTCATCAGAATCGAGTCCGACTTGATATCCCTAACAAAAGGCTTAGAATAAGATGAAACCACCGCTAACCTGTGGATGATCCCGTGTGAGTGTAAATAGGCCAAACCGCGAAGACATTGTTGCGAGAGGCACGCGATTTGTGGCTCGAACATTCTAAAATTGGATAACTTCTATAAAAATTGTTTTCAAACCTGCAAGTAGTAACAATATCGGTTAATGATCCACCCTCCATGAATTCCATCACCACCCAAAGTTCGTTTTCCACCAAAAATGAGCTAAAGATCGTTGATTATAAATGCTAAAAGAGAGACAGTACCTCAGCATCTCGACAATATTTGCATGATGATAGTCTCTCATGATACAGACCTGAACTTACTGTTATAATAAAGAAAATCCATTTTTATGAAACTTCGTTAAACAATAATTCTCGTCTTGCTTGTTTTCGGAGATCCATTCTTTTAACAGCAACCCGACGACCGTCTGTTTTCTAAAAAATGAAGCCATTTCAACCAAAACATTATTAGAATAAACGATAATCGCTTAGAGGAAATGCACATACCAGTGTTGCGGTGTCCACAAATCCTGTACTACCTTCAGCAAATCGAACAACATTTAAGAGGTCCGTGATTGGAATGCTTGGGCTTACCACCGACGACAAGGCGACTCGAAACTAAAGATTCCATTAGAAATTCTAATTAAAACGATACAACTATTAATATTTTGTACTTTGAAAAAGCGAGCTAAAAACCTGCTCAGGCGTCAAAGTGACTGCAGCCGGATTAGCGTTTGCATCTCTTTCTGATGAATTTGAGAGCGATGATGAGGTAGCAGAACCGGAATACGGTGGAACTGGTGCCTAAGCTTGATCATTACACAAAAACCCCCGAGTACTTACGTTGACGACATGTTGGGCGCGACTTGACGCACGGAATGAACTTTGCTGTGATGTTTGCCCATTCTAAAGAGGTATAAAAAGGTAGAATTTCAAAACGCGCTCTTTACCTGGGTGAACGGCAATGGCGCATATCCAGGCTCTCCAAATGGATATTTTCTCAAATCAGGCGAAATTCCTGAAGCTGGAGAACGAGGACCATACGGCGACAAAACCCCAGAAGCTCGCCTAAACAAATTTTGTTAACTATGTTGTTTTTTAAAAAACTCACATAGACGATCTTGCAAATGTCTGGGAGACCAATCCGTTTGATGGTGGCGATGAAAGAACTCTAAAATTTGCAAAGTTAAAATGAACAATTTTAACTGGCTAAATAAAAAAACGAACTTCGAAACATCTCCCCGTACGACTGTTTTAATTGAAGAGAGTTCCGATGGAGTGTACGTGGAGGGATCGGCGAGTGGTTTTGGTCGATCACCACCGCTGAACTTCGATCGGCCCAACAGAGCTTCCCATTGCTAAAAAGTTGAAAATATTGTTTGCAAATTTTATAAACAAGTTTTCACTGTATACCGAACTGATTCAAAAGGCTTTTGCTAATCTAGAGCTGACCTTTGGAAGTCCGGTATATTGTCCCGTTCCCGAGTTGTAGCCGGCGTGTATTCGATGCTCGAAATTGGTTGGCGTCGATATGTCCTCTTTCTTCAACTTCTTTCGATAGGAGCGCCTCGCGTTCATCCTAAATAAAAGCATTTTTTAGGTTTAAGGGGAAATGTAAAAAGCAAAACTATATAAAGTCAAGGGTAAAAAGTTAAATAAGTTTTGACAAGTAAAAATTCAGTTGATTAATTTTTCATTTGAAACTTTGATATGAAAAAAACTCAAAACGTTCGCTAGAAAAACGGTTATTCTGTTAGCGAACTTTCAAAAGGCTTTTTGAGTTTTGTAAAAATTTCCCTTTTAGCCTGTCAGACACAAAGTCAAAATAAAAACACTACACTAAAAGATAGTGTCGCTTTTCTTTCTCTCTACAAACCCTCATAATACTCGAAACGGCCCTTCAGTGTATGCCAGTTACCCGCAAAAATGTTAACGGGTGTGCGGCGGTGAAATTTAAGATCGTGTGTGAAATTTCTTGAAAAGTTTTAACGAAAAGCCCCCAAACTTTTCAATTTTGGCACAAAATTTCACCCAGACACCCAATTAATGAGTTGGATTTTTTGTAAAAGTTGTTCATGTTGGTTTTTTTTATTGCTTTACCACTTCTGTGCTTCAACATTTCTTCTTTTCAGATGCGACAATAGCAAAAACGAATAGAAATGTATCGCTTTTTATCGTCAAGGTAAATTGTTTTTTGTTAATTTTCTTTTGCAATGCAGTTTTTTTTTCAGATTTCCGTCTACATCATGCGCAAAGCTATCTCAACGGGTGAAACGATTCAGCTCAACGCTGAAAAATGAAGAGAATTTGGCAAATGAGGTAGATCTTTTAGACTCTCTTTAAAAAGCAGCTTTAGACCTATTTTGATGCTCCGGTCGGCCTTCGAATGTTAGCAGGACACGAGCCAATAAAAAGGCAACAAATCGAAAAAGCAAATGATAGGTATTACAAGCTATTTAAATTTAACTCCAATTTTTAGCAATAACTTTGGAGTCCTTTCTTCAACTACTCCGCAAAAGAGAACCGTTAGGTTGTTAGAGTAAGTGATTTTGTTTTCGATCATTTTAAATGGCTATTTTAGTGCTGGAATTTTTGTGCCAACGACTGAGACCGAGCTCCTTGATAGTAGATCTGGGTTTGTGTTGTTGTTTTTTTTGTTTATGAAACAACTGATAATTTCTAGTGACGAAAGCTCATTGGAGGAAGTTCTTGAAGGCTTCTTTCAGAATGGATGTAATGTGTCCGAAGCCATCGAAGGTTTTTCTGACTATTGTACGGCCGATTCTGCCTTGTGAGTTATACATCAAACTTTTCTAATGACTGAAAACAAGGAATTCTAAAGTTTCTTTTTAGAAACATATCTGATCAGGGACACAGCTATAAGCCTTCTACGAGTCCCACGGTCAGTCCGAAAGAAAGGCGAACCCCAGGAACTAGAAGAATCCTTACAAAGAAAATGCAGAGAACATTGCTAAAACGAAGAAACATGGTAGAGTGAACGATTTTATGCAAACAAAAATTTAAATTGTTTAGTCCTCAATCATTGCCCCATCAACTGAACAACCCGGAGTATCCAATGTAGAGGCATCTATGGTTTGATTAAAGGTTATTCAACGTAAATAAAGGGTTTAGATAAGCACCCCAGAAATTGTATCTGCACTTTCGATTGAACCACCTGTTCGGCGGACAGTAGAAGTATGCTACTGAACTTTTTCGGCAATAATGTCCGCTTTAGGTCTTTCAAATAGATCCAAATCGTCAAGAAAAAGCATCAATAAGCGAAATCGAGGAAGCTCTGAATACAAATGCAAGTATCTTCCATTGTGTTAAATTTATTCTCCTTTTAGACGATTCAAGCAATGCGGGATTTGTTTACTTGTAAGAAGTGGCCGGATATTCGTGGAACATTGGTGAGTATTTCTTGAATTTTTCAAAATAAAGACAAGAATAATAAATAAAAATAAAACAAAAATTATAGCCCAATCGAGTGCTCCAATTGGTCGTTAATGAAGCGAAAAACTATGACGAGGCTTTGGAATTCTTCAAGGATTAGTAAGTTTTACTTTTTCAGCTTTCATCATACATCATTCAACTCTTTAGTGCAACAATTTCTCGTAATGTGTTTGTGAGTGATCATTTGGCGATGAAATTGGCTATAAAGGCAGCATTGGAAAATGAGGTAAGGGATCATACCATTATAAAAACATTAATCGTTTGCTTAGGAAAAAAATCCGGCAACAGTTGCTATATTGGCGCTACAAACCCATCGAAAAACCTTTTTGGCCAGGCCTAGTTAGTTTTATTTGTAAAATCATTTATTGAAATATTATTTTTTAGAGTTTGTAGAAACAAAAGCGGAATTTTGCGAGTTGATTGGCTATGTCGGTGCTAAATGCAGTATCAATGGTGGGTCGTTTAGCTTTTTTGTAGTAAGCACGTCAATTTAGATTCTATTGGTTTGTACGAGTGCATCCAATCGAAAGGATTTTATGTTGACGCAGACCGATTCATCCAAGCAATTTGCAAAGCCAAGATCTCGTCTGGGTAGGAAAAATTTAGGTAGTCACTGAAGTCATTATGTTTCAGAGTTTCTTTCTCGGTGCTCCAGAAAGACTGGGAACAACTTTGTTTGCATTTCTCGGCATGTCATGGCTTTGGTCTCCTCGTGAAGAAAGTTTTTGAAGAACAGATTTCTGAAGATAAAGCCTGTGGTAAGTAGACTTTGTGTTTGTGCGCCTAAATGAAAAACTTGAAAAACTCTAGATATCCGTACTTTAATAACTCAAAGATTATAAAGGATTTGTTTTTTGTTTAGGTAAACTTCTTGCTTTCACAAATGAGGTCGGATATCCACCATCGGCAGCACTTGCAGAAATCGTCTCCGCATTGGTATCGTTTAAAAGGGAACCAGAAGCTGAAAGGATACTGCAACGAGTGGGTTTATTTGGGTCTAATTTGGTACATTGTCTATTTTAGATCTTTGTGAAGCCAACCTATTTTAAAAGACCACTGTCGAATTTTCTCGAGTCACCGGTAATTTTCGTAAACGTTATTGAGTATCAAATATTTTAGAATGGAATAGAAGACTTTGAAAACACAATACAACTACTTGGCAGACATCTATTTAAAGAGACGAAAAAAGGTGGGAAAAGGAAGGGTCAAGCAGCGGCATCAATCGAAGACCAAGCCACTACTGATGAAAAGGTACTTTTTAAGAATTTAATTTGTTACAAGTTTTATTGTAGGTCAATGAAGATTTGGTGCGAACGATTCTAGAGTTTTTTGGTATCCGAGAAAAGAGAAGGCGTCAAAAGGAAATTAAATCGTTAAAGGTTTTGTTTTGATTGTTTTGCCCAATAACTGCTTTTTAGATTGATAGTGAACGATTAGCTGAACTCTCAACTCACATCCAGAGGACTTGGATCAGATTTGCACGTAAGTTTGCGACTTAATGATTTTGTTAGAGGAATAAAAATAGCTTTGGATATATCTAATAACTGTTCCAGAAAAGAACGAGGATTTGACCATCATTACACGACTTCGTCAATGGGGCCGTGACAATCGAATGGAACTTTCTCCAGAGGTAAGTTTGTGATTTACACCAGATAATTTTCAACTTTAGTCTGAAAAACAAGTTCGACAATTGAAAGGTGACTTGGAGCGAAAGTCAACTACTGTACAAAAAATAATTGTTAGGTGATGTATGTTAGGTGGTTATAGTTTTTAGATTAGACTTTAGTTGTGATTCTAGTTTCTTTTATTATTGCACTTGTTATTGATGAACTCACCTTTTTGCAGGTACCCAATTTTGTTATTTTTTGTTTTTACTTCGATAAAGTTTTTTCTCATGCTTATCATTTATGCGACTTTGTTAACGATCAAAATTTGCTACATGTTGTTTGAATTGAGTCAGCTTGTTGGGTGTACGGTAGTATTTTAGCATTCGACAGTCGTTTATGCTTGGGTTTGTTCGAAATTCGGCGAAAAGGTGATTAATTTTGAATTAGAGTAGGTCCCAGCATAACACCGTGCGGGTTATTACGGCACCTATCTATTACAATACGGTCAGAGGTGCCTTTTATTAGTATACACTTATTTTAGGCATGCCTATCTACGGCGGTTATCGAACATAGCAGCCGCGACACCATCAACATCAGCGGCTCCACTCGAGCTGTCTAGTCTACCCCTAGCGAGGTATTTTCGTTTAGTCCTTGGTGATAGTTCGGCAATATCAAAAGTTTTATTTAGAGTAACAGAAGAGGTCAAGGATGATGAGAGAGCGTTGCTGAAGAGGTATGGAAAAGAGCTCGAGAGGTCCGAATGGAAAACATTTGGAGAAGCGACTTCATTGTAAAGGAATTTATTCTGGCTCATTGTATAATTCTGTTTAGCATCGAATGGAACAACTATCTGATGTCGTATCACCTGCAAAAACTGAATCAAATCATAACCCAAGGCAGCTTGGTAATTCTTTCTTGCTTAACTTCATCGCTGTGGTTTTAGAAAAGTGCTGAGCTTTCGGATCGACAGATCTCTCTGCTCATCAAAGCTTATGGTGGTCTAGCTTCTGGCACTCCAAAGAAGACACGAATTGAAGAGCTAAAGAAACTTTTGCAGAAAATAGCTAGCGAAGGCTTGTTTTTTTTGTTATTCTTAATCTCATTGCCGTTTTAGAAGTCGAGATGGGTCCCCAATCTCTCACATCACTACTTTCAGCAAAATTGGATAACAACGAGCCGATTAAAGTCGTTGAAGAACTAGAGGTGCGTTTGGTTTAAACATTCAACGATATTTGTTTTTTAGAAATGGGATCTCAAAGGGTATGAACCAACAAACGAGTTGCTGATTATTTTGTCAAAAGTCTATGCGGGTGAAGGAAATGTGAAAGGAGTGAGGTTGTTTTGTGGACGTTTTTCAAAAATGGTGTTTTTTAGTGAATTGATGCAGTACGCTAAAGAAGAAAAGATGGAGATAATGAATTATTTACTCACCTCTCTGGTCAAAGCATTTGCCGTACAAGGAAAATATGCGGAGGCAGAAACGACAATACAGGTTATTTATTATTGTGTATTTTGAAATTGTTGTTCAGGAGGCTCTCACAATTGATGAGAAACTACCCCCACTTCTTCGCTTATCGATTTGTGAGGTTGCAGCCAAGAAAAAAGATATCGAAATTCTTTGGCAACAGATGGCCCTCATCAGTATCGATAAAATGGTTTTTTAGATTGTTTTGCTTGAATTTGTAATTTTCTAGGCTTCTCTAACAAAAATTCAACGGAAAATTGTGGTGGCTTTAATTGAGAACAAATTGTGGAGTGAAGTGGAAAAGGTTCGAGGTTTAGTGAACATTTATAATCCAAATCAACTTAGGTTCGCCAACATTTTGCGCTCATTCCAACGGGATCCGAAAGGTTTCCGAATTCATTACAACATCCGCAATTTTTGCAAAAAATGGTGACTTATTTTCAACTTTTCAATTACACTCAATATTTAGTGGGCATTCACGTGGAGTCTGATCAAAGAAGACCGCCTAGATTGCGCGTTGGTTGCGTATTCGTTCACTAGGAAAACTGATGAAAAGCAACAAGCCGCTTTGAGTCAAGCGGTATAATTTAATAACAGGCTCGTTGATTCTATTCGTTTTAGATTACCCGCAAGGCCTCCCAAATTAAAGTACCATTAAATGAGGCCCTGGCTTTAGCAGAAATGGCGGTCGCACATGAGATAGAGCCGTAAGTAACGATCGAAAGTTTATCACTTTTGCAATTTAGTTCAATCGGAAGCCTTTTACTGAAAGCTGTTGAGTATATGCCAGCACAAAGGCTCGTTGATGTCTTGAAGATTTTACCGTCCACGGATGTAAGTGATCATTTAAGAGTACCTAAATTCAGTTTTTGTAGATTGAGATGATTGCACCGGTTCCTGAAATCCGTTTATCACTTGCAAAGAAGCTTTCCGGTGTGCAGGTATCGCTTTTAATTCACTTTTACCAACGAAATATTTTTAAGGACCTAGCTTCGGTCGAGCAAAAGGTGTCATATCTGGAACAAATCGCCAAACTTTTGTTCGAAAGCTTGCCGCCAATGGATCGAGATTATATAGAGGCTGCTCATCGAAGCGTGTGCGTTTGCTTTAGGGGAGGTATTGTTTGATTGGCAAAACGACAATTGATTAACTTTTAGATCTTGAAATTGCTAAACTGGTGGTCGATCAACTCAGTTCCGATTTTGCGACCCGGAATAAATTCTCAACGGCTGTTGTTGACTCTTATTTGAGGATAATGCAATTGGATTCCAGTGCCACACAAAAGTTGTTGGATTTTTTGAAATGGTTGGGACAATCTTATTTCTAATTTAAACATTGTGTTTAGTGGAAAAATTGCACAATTGGAACTATACCCAATCCAGTATTCGCTGTCGAAAATGTTGCGACAAATTAAAGCAGACACTTCAAGTGAACAACTCAATATAATTGCCCTGGCTATTATCTTGTCTTTCCCAGGTAATTAAATTTTTAAGAAAATCTTGGTAAATCAACTTTTCAGCCGATCCAAAAATCCAATCTGGTCGAATAGCCGGTCTATTTACCGGCATAGTTAAACATAAACAAGTAGATGCTGAAGTTGTTGAAAAATTGGTCGACAAAATTCTCTTATTGGTATGTTTACTTTTATTGAACCGAACGTTATTTCAATTAAAGGATACAAAGAAACGGGTTGGTATTTACGATGCGGATATGGCGAAACTAGTTAGCGAATTGGAAGAAGCGGGTAATTTTGGGAAAGCCGCAAGTTTGCAGAAGTTAAGTCGGAAAGGCCAGGTAACAAGAGAATAACGGCTTATAAAAAACATTGTTTTATTTAGACGATGGCCCGCTGGCAAGGTAGCACCGTCGAACAGTTGGATACAGAGTTATCTATTTTGATGGAAAAGAAGGTCGATGTGAAAGTGGTAAATCAACTCCGATCGGTTATCCTTGACAAAATCGCAACAGAAACGGTTTGTTTTTGTCGATGTCTCACTTATCAAAAATTGTTTCGCAGTTTATTGGAACTAATAGATGATCGATATAGGCTGAAATTTTGAACTTACTAACTTTACTTAGTTATTCTCAAAAATTAATATTTCAGCCCATAAATCTCGCGGCTGGAACTCGACATTGCATAGCTGCTATTGAAACAAAGACGATCAATCAACGATTATTTAAGGCGATATTGAACTTTAAGGTTGTTCACTTTATTTATTGATAAAGCTTATTAAACTTTTTAGAAAGTTGGCTTTGGTTATGCCCTTGAGAATGGCTTGATTGATGAAGCACTGGGACTTTTTGAGTCAGTTGTTCGAATTCAGGATTATGCCTACTTTATTTTTTAGCCCAACAATGGAAATTGGTATTTCGTCAGCACTTCATTTGGCCGCTCTTCTACACGCCTCGGACAGAATTTCGGACGCTGATAACGTAAAACTTTTGTTGTGTATTGAAGAGCATTTTTTTAGGTAATCGCTAAAATCAAAGAAGCAAAGCTAGATGTTACGCCTAACAATCTTGAGAAAGTGAGTTTGTTTTTATTACAAAAAATACTTCTGTTTAGCTCAGCAACGCACTCGGCTCTTTGAGTGTAACGCAAATTGAAGCTTTTGCAGCGTATCTACAAACGGCTTTGAACCTAAAGTCCACCTTGCTAAAGCGACTCTTGACAAAGAGAGTGCTCAACAGCATCAAGAAATTGATCGATGAGTTGGTTCAATTCTCTTGATCTTTTAACGTGGATTCTAGGGAGAATTTGGCTGAAGCGTTCGTTTTATCGGTGAATGAATCGAAAAAATTCGAATATGCTATTGGGAGAATAGAATTGGCTAAAGCTGCCGTGGCCAAGTACGTTTTTGTTTTGTTTTGAAATTTTCATCGGCTTTAGAGGCAACCAAGAACTGTTGGGCGATGTCTTCAGACTGATCACAAAGTATCATTCGACTGAATCAGCTCACCTTGACCTCGGTTATGCTTTGCTTTGGGGAGGACATGTAACACTCGCGGAGAAGATGTTTGCGGTTTGATTTTTTTGTACATTGTTTGAAAAATTCTTACTTTAGAAAGGTGGCAAGGTGTCGACACAGAAGCTGAGCTACTTGGTTTTGGATTCGTATCTCAACAAAAGGGTGTGTTCTATAACATTTGAAAGGATGTAACCGAATAATAGCATATTTTTAATACATTCTTTGTTTAGTCGGACGTGTTGCGCTCTTTGTTCGATATTTTGGTGAAGGACGAAAACGTTTCTCGAGTGGATCTCAATAATTTGTTGGCCAATTTGTGCAAACTTTATTGTAAGTCCGATATATTTTTATTTATATCCTCAATAAGAAATCCTCTTTTTTAGATACGGAGAAAAATGCGGAAGCGGCCGACTCTCTTCGCGAACAGTGCAGACAACTTTCGTTTCCACTTGAAAAAGCGACTCAGGAGAAATTTAAACTGCTACAACAGCTGGTTAGTTTTGATGAATTTAGAATTGATGAATTGATGAAGACGTTTTAGATCCCAAAAAAACGTGAATCAACCGTCTAGTAAATGATGCTAAATAATTGTGCTATTGATTTTAGGCATTAGTTGTTAGAACCTTATATGTAGTTGTCGTCATTTTTGAGTCTGTGAAAAAAGACATATTTTTGATATTTTCATTGAGATTTGGAGATTTTGTTATTGATTGTTTTCTTCTGCATTGTAATAAAAATTTATGGAAATTGTATTAAATTGCGATTAATATTGATTTTAAAGTGCATATCGCGCAAATGTGAAAATACTGTGTTATGAGCAATTTTCAAATCAGAAGCCATTTCAGTAGGATAAGTTTACGAGACTGAACATTTTTACAAAACGCTGCTTGGATGTTAAAGACACAGGTAAGGATTCTGAAGTTGAACTGAAAATCATTCTTTCAAGGAAATACTACGTTCGCAGTTGAGAGTATATCTTCGCTTTGTCGTTGCAACTAGAGACTTCAAGAGTCAAAGAATTGAATCGCAAGCTTCTACGAATGGTAAGTAATGGAAGATTTTTTATCGTCATTTTATCATTTAGAACCGCTGTACAAGCTGAAAGAAATTCTGGCTAGGGCTAACGTCGAGGAATTCAATAACTTAAAGAAAGCTTACGAAGAAACATCGTAAGATACTTTGTTCTTTTTCTCTAACAAAATTTTTACAGGAAACTAACTGCCATTCCTGATTGGATTACTGTGAAGTTGGCGAGCATTGCGATGTCTCGACAACAAAACGGAGAAAAGATTTTGGTCGGACACTGGCAAATGACCGGAAGTGATAAGCGCATAGGTATTGTGGGAAGAAGGACCTATATCAATTCTTGTTCCTTTTAGATCATCAGTCCGATGTAACAAAGGAGCAAATTGCGGCAGCACTTGCACGTGTTTGGCAAGCGGGATGCACTCAATTTGATGATCAAAGGAGGTACGGGCATTTTTCATTTTTCTGGCATACGTTTTATTGAAATTTAGTTTTCATGCGGTGCTCAATTTTTATAATCAATTGCGAAGGTTAAAATTTACTCCAATACGCGATACACATGTTGCACAACTGATTCAATATGCTATTAAAAGGTAATATTAAATATAGACCAAAACTATTAAAAATACCTTACCATTTCGAAGTGTTGAGAATAAAAATAGTGTGCGATGAAACAGAAAGGCCCATGATCGAATGCTAAGTTATGTAAAATCAATATGCAAATTTAGCGGATACACGACAAATGCTTTGCTGGAGCTCTACCGGGATCTCAGTCAATCTGCTGAAAAACCAATGGCAAAAACAACGTTTTTCATATTGAATTCAGCAAAGAGCGAAAAGGAAATACAAGAGAGTAACTACTTTAATTCTATTTTAGTGTCAAATTCTATTTTAGTTAAGGAGGTTGTGGCTAAGAAAATATCGTCCTCAACATTGAGTCTACTTGATAAATTTGTAGCACTTGATCGAGGAAAGGGACCCAGTTTAGCTGATGAGCTCAATGTTTCTTGATTTAAAATATTTTTTATTGATACTTAATTTAGAGATTGAATGACCCATTGAAGAGTGATCAATTGCAGCAATTGGTGTTTTGGGCATCAAAATGGAAAAGGGTACATCTATAGGGTACATTTCTGGGAAAACTCGTCATTTTTTTTAGAATAACGTACTAGAGGAGTTATTTGAGTATGCTCAACTATTCGGCTTTGATAGCTTCTCAAAAGTTTTGGTCTATAATGCGCTAGTGTTGAGTTATGGTTCGTTTTCTAAAACTATCAAAAAACTTTGAGATGATTTTAGGAAAGAGTTCTAATACAGAAGGACTTAGGAGGATTGCGAAAAGAATCGTGAAAGAAGACGATCGGAGAGAATTCAGGTGGAACCTGTTTGTTTATTTACTCTGAAGTTTTGAGTTTAGCGTAGCACTTTCGCGGATTCGTCATTTCTATAAGTGTATGAACAAACAACCACCGGAAGAGACAATCAATTCCAAATTTGCACATTCTGAAAAGAATAAATAATTTTAAGACTTAATTTCCTTGCAATATCGTATTCTGTGATCTTACGCAATGAATATCTTTTGCGAGAAAAATTTGGCTAGGCAGTTAACATTTCTATCTCTTTCAGGTTCAGTTTTATGTCAAAGAGGCGATTTGATGATACTGTCGATAACGGGATATCCAACCCTTGGGAGAGGAAACGCTTTCGAGCACTAGAAAGTAAGCTCAAATTTGTCGCCAAATGCAAATTCTTTTGTAGAACGCCTGCAAGGTCTGCGAATAGATCCTTTAGGTGGGCTTTATATTTGGCGAATTAAATGCGAGATATTAATACGTAGACTTGCTTATCAACAGCGTAAGTTTTAAATAGTCTGCCAATTCAAATATTCTGCAATTTTTTACGCAATCTTTTTCGCAATCTTTATGTTAAGTTAAGGTTATTACAAGCAAGACTATACATAGTATCTTACCTTTGTTGCATGCAAATTTTTATGTTCAGATGCAAGCAATGTGGCTTCAACTTCACAAGCCTCTGGCGATTCGCCGTCACCAGAACGACGATTGTCTATCGCACTACGTTACCCCGATGGAAAACGACAAATCGCCGAGCTGGAAGTTGACACAAAAGTAGAGGTACATTTTACAACATTTTTTCAAAGCTACATCGGGAATGTCTCCCTAAATTCTGTTTTTTTCAGCGGCTCTTCCAAATCATCCATGCGCACGGTGTCTCTCCAAGTATGGTTGTGTTGATTAAGCAATTCCCGAAAACGGTAATCTCACTCGAAGACTCGCAAAAGACGTTAGCAGTAAGTGGATATTTTCCTGCACATAATCAATCCCAATTCAGGAACTCGGTATTACAACAAGTGAGGCGTTATTCGTTGAAGAAAAATAGCGAAAAAAATTCATCGACTCGTAATTCATATTCGATATCATAATCATTTTCATTTGTGCATTTTTATTAACTTCTATGTTTTAATTCGTTTTATATTCATGTACATTGGTCTTGTGTTGCCAAAGTGTGATATTTTTTACGGTTTTCATTGTGTACGAGTATTTCTCTTTTAGAATCTATAGTGATGCTCTAAGGTTGTGTTCATATAAAATCAATAAATAATTAATTAAACGAGGAGATTGTTATTCACGAAAGTTCAAGGTTGCGCCTGATTTCGTACTTGTTTCATTCGTACTTTGTATTGTACGTTCATGTATACCCAGAAAAAGTTCCCATTTCAGGATGACACAGGCTAAAGCAACTTGGCAAGAGACGCCGCCACGCAATTTGCAGAAAATCTCGGCAGCATTGACAAATGAGAATGTGGTGGGCAACAGTGCTAGCTTTTAATAGCCACGTGTAACTTATAATTTTAGAAATGGGAGGATATTAAGGAATATGTGGAGTCAGAACAAGAAATATCCATCGCTCCATTTGTGTTGAAGCGCATCGCGCTTGGGGTTAGTTCTAAATGTTCCGATGTTCCATTTAAATTTTGCGTATTTAGGAATGTGCATCGAATCGCCATGTTTGTTCTCTAACGGTGAACTCATCGAAGCACTTCTCGTTTGTTGGTATCAATATACTTGGGCAGGTTAGCTTTAACTTAATGAGTAAGCTAGAATTTTTTTAGGTTCTCGAAACTCTCAGCACATTTTATAGACCATCCGATGATCTGCTCGAGGTGGAAGTGGCTCACATTTTTCAGGCAATTTAATTGTGAATTTTTTAATAAAACAAATTTAGGATGAAGAAAGCGCTATTTCTTTCATCGTTTTGGAGTTTTGTGGCGGATTGAAACACTCAACATCCGTCCTTTTTATCGATTCAGTTCTAACGGCTTTTACGATCTCACAAGGTTTGTTGTTTTTATTAAGAATCAAGCACGATAAACCTTTTTAGCTTTGCTTGCTGAAATCTCTCGAGTTTCTTTTGTGCGATGTTCTCACATTGAGAATGATGAGGCTGAGATCGCCGATGAATTGGTATTAATAGATTTTTAAAAATTAATAATCAAAATTTTTTAGTTTATTGCTCACACCGAGGAGTTGGAGTTGATCGATTGCGCCGATGCTTTCATTTACTTCGTCACAAAACATTCACCGCAAAATTTGAAGCGTTTTGTTGTACGTAACGAGAACAATGTTGATCGGTTTGTTGTAATTTATTCGTCAATGTATTTTATTTAGAGCATTTGGGAAGAAAATTCTCGTGGGAATTCAAAGCTTTTGTGATGAAAAAGTCGACATGGAGATCTTCTTACCAAGTGACGCAGAAACCGCTAGAGCAATGGTTACAGGTTGAAAAGATTTTAATTATTTCAAATACGAGTGTTTAGACTATGCATCAACGGAAAAACAAATTGATGTAAACCGATTAGAGCAAGAGATCAAGGTTTTTATTTGTTGTTTTTAAAACGTAGTGGCTGCAGTTCAAGGTCTTTCGATGTTTAGATTTCGATCCACTTTAAGTTTCGAACAAATTAAAAATTTATCACAATTGAGAAATGCGTTTTAGGATGCCGAAGCAGCTGAGATGGCAGCTAGAGAATGGCTTAGAAGTGAACAACGAGACGAGCTTTTTGATGAGGAAGATAATGATTTGGAAGATCAACCTAGAAGTAGCCAGTAGGTAAACTTTTATAGTTAGGAAGCAGCTGAAGCAAAGTAGATTAATTTCGACAAACAAAGTTCATTTTAGAAGAGCCGTGCCATCTGTGAGTTCTCTCGAATCAATCCCTTGGTCTGAAATGCCGTGCCCCGTCGCAATCACGATCAATGGAGCATCGTTCTTGTCAATTTCGGTAAATTAAAAAAATGTTGTTTTAAACGGCTTGAACATTTAGGTTGTTGGAGTAAACGTGCCGAATACGAAAACAAACGATGCTGAGGTCTGGTTTTTGAGGTGTTTTGTCTGAAAATTAAGTTTTAGGGCGATTGCAACGGTTTCGTAAAGCTGCGAAGGCCTTCATCGCGTGAATTTAAGACGGACGATGAAATGGAGGAGGACGAAAGCTATTATGAAGACGATGTGTAACCATTGTGAGTGGTTTTTATTCTTGTATACTCTGTACTTATGCATTGCTTAATAAGTTACTTAACTTGTAATATTTGTTCCATGATATCAATTTTCAAGCGAATGCTGTGTTCTTGCTCATCGGGTAAAATAAACCCAATCTAGCCCCAACTTTGTTTATTGACGGTGAATTTTTGCTTACGTTTGTCTAATCCTTTTTTGATCTATATTAAACGTCGCTCACATTATGTTTTATTTAATCGGAGAATTTTGCATTTGTAATTTGGGGGTATGTTTGTGCAATAAATTTAATTCAATTTAAACGAAATTAATAAGTTAATTCTTTCGGAAGTGATCCGTTTATCCCTCTTCTAATTGTTGAATCAGTTCGATGGCTTCTCGTGTCGCTTTTCTTTCTCGAGTATCCGATGCTATGCTGAGCTCTAAATTTGGGCGGTTATCGTATGAATACGGTAGTTCCCTACTTTTTGACATTAGTTCTTCTTCTTCCGGTTTTGTCGCTTCTAAATTTTCAAGTATTATTTTACACTGATCTTTAGTGTTACCTTCACCATCTTTCTTGTTCTCTTTTTCCTCTTCCTCTTCATCGGTCAATTTGAGACCTTTTGCCCAATAGAATACCCAGAGGTCGGAGAAGAGTGAGATTAGCCGTATCGTACCGTAGATCACATGTAATCTGAAAAGATTTGGCTACAAAAAGAGAGCTCTTTTAGTTCATCAGTTTCGCCGCCAAGACTTACTGTATTCGTAGCTTATCATTGTCATAAAGCGAGCAGGCACCCGTTGAGCTACATGTTTTCTGCCAGGCGATACACGAGAGATCGATCAGTTTCCCCCAAACGATTGGCGATGGAAGAGTGGCTGGAATTGGTGAGATCATATTTAGATGTTTTACGATTTAGACGTTTCCTCACCGAATAAGCTGACGACAAAGCCATTGAAACCCAATGAAACACTCCGGTGCTCTGGATCAACCGATCTGCAAAGTTTGTTGTAAAAATTAGAACACCGAGTTTTTATGGGCAAAATTCAGCTACACTTACCGTAAAATGATCAACATAGCCGGAACAACGGACATTCCGCCGAAGAAAGCACCGATAGCCTAGAGTTTTGGGTAATTTAAGATTTGTTGACTTGGCTTGCACTTGGAACATTTTTGCCGACCTGATTTGCGAAGTACACCTTGAATTTCCACTCACAATCGTCTACCATACAGAAACTTCGCGAGACAATGCCGTCCTCGGTGCCTGCACAAGCACAATTGTTGAATTGTGGCTGAAACGGATGGGAAATGGAAAGTCTGGGTTTATTTTGACTCACCAGTTGGCTGCTTCGATCCTTTCCAGCAAATAGCGAGAAGTTTGCTCCGCTAATCGGACAACCCGCGTGACAGGGTGAATAAAAGACTTGGCCCTAAATTCATCGTATCATCTCAATTAGAAACCCGAGTCTTTGAATTTTCAATTGCCTTGCCAATTGTCAGTGTTTTTTTTCTTGTTAATGATAAGAGTTTTGAAAGTGTTCTATTTGTTTTAGTTGTACATTGTAAAATTATATCATGGACAATTTGGGTTACGGTAGGTTTCGCCAAGAAAACCTACTGTAGCCAGTATTTAAAGGAGGGATTTGACAGAATTCCTCATTCTTTTCGATTCGCCTCATTCTTATCACCCGGTAAACCCCAATTCCTTCTTCGGAGTCTGTACAAAATCGTATTTTGGTTTTTGGAGCGAAGAAACGTGAAATGTTATTAAGCTTTTCGTAGCTAGGCACAAAATTTTTTTGCTATGGCTATTTCATTTTTGCTATGGCTATTTTTGCTATTTCAAAGTTTCAATCTTTTTTAGTATTTCTATTTTTTTATTTTAGCAACGAAGCGAACACGAGTGAAACCACTTCGGACTATCGCAAATGCTTCTGAGATACTTCCTTGACGAGAGCGGACACCGTGTCTACACTTTGAAGGTTTGTTTGTCGGATCTTGCTAGTTTTGGATTTTATCCTAGTTTGAGCGACGGCGTATTTGATTATCTACAAATGGCAAAGAAACTTTTTAGAAATACTTCAAAATAAGGCTATGATACGCGCTATTCTATTTTTTCGTTACAGAAAACCGCTCCCGAGGGTAGCCAGACGTTTTCGGCACATCCCGCTAAGTTCTCGCCTGAGGATAAGTGCAGGTATGGTCTTGGCTTACTAACTTTGAGTCATACTTGAGCTTGAAAATTGTCTTTGTCTATTTTGTTAGCTAAGCACTTGATAAAGTTCCAATACATAGTGTTTATCGTGTTTATTTTAGCAAGTACCGTGTGATTGTCAAGAAACGCTTTGGATTGCTTCCATCTCAACAAGCAAAAATTGTCTACTAACTTTTGGTTTGTTGTCCAAAAGTTAAATCCTATATACGTTTAATTTAGATGGCCATATACTGGGAATGGCGTCGAATTTTTCGACAAAAACTTCGTTCTTTTTCTCCACAACAAAGTAAATTTTCCTATCAACAAGTCGGTTTAAAATTTTTTTAACGAGCAAAATTACGTTTTAGTGGGCTAAGCGTCGGCTTGTTATGTCATTTGTGTTCTTCTTTGTCGGCTGGAAGGTTTTCGGCTACACGTTAACAGAAATGGGTCTTTATGTCTACGATGAAGAGACCGGCAAGGTAAGGTTTAATATTTTGAAGGTTTAGACTAGGTAAATTCGATTAAATGAAACGTGTTTTGAAGTCTAAAATATGGTATGGATTACGCATCATTTGAAATTAAGGGTCACTATCGTACCCCAGCCGAAGCTCGTGAATTGCGCAACAAACTAGAGCTCGAACATGATCGTCGCCTCAAGAAACCCATGGATGTCAAGTCCTTCCCGCTCGACGCCTAGCCCTCTCCAACCCATTTCTTTTAGTGTTGCTTTTGTATACCCTAGATTTCCCCAAATTGTTATTGTTCTTCATTTTGTTATGATAGTTTCTTCGAAAGTTGTTGTATCGCTATCATTTAAATAATTTAAATAGTTGTTTACGTAATCTTTGATTTGAAGAGATCGAATTGTGGAATTTGCTCAGTATTTGTCGGGATTGTTGGTTACGAGTATCTGATTTTCAGCAAATCGATATGGAAGTTGACATTACTTCGTTTAGATTTGTATGCCTCCACCTGCAACAATTGACATCTCCTTCTCAATCGGCGATCGTTTCATTCAACTGCTGAAGACACAACACGCAAATCTCGACAGTTATGTAAGTAACAACTCGACATGGAGTAAATTGGGTACTAACGGTTCATGCTGGCCGAATTCATGACCAAATATGTGTGAGTGTGTTTAGGCTTTAAAGATGAGTGCTCTTAAACAACGTTATTTTTAGTTCTTCACCGAGTTGGGCAAGATCGGGCAAATCATCGAGGTGATTTTCCCGGAGGAATTGATCAACGAGAGGTTGACTGGGCATCAGGTTGGTTTGAGTTGTTCGAGCCAACAAGGGAATGACCCCAACTTGAAGTTCGGAATCGCTTCGGATCTAGAAGCGACCACGGATATCACGGATCCGTAAAAAATTTTGCTAGAGACCCTGCAAACGCGAGATATTAGACTTTAAAGTTTTAGGGCTTCTTTTGAAGCCTGTTTACGAAGCTGTAAGAAGGGGATGTAGTTAAAACAGCACCAGAATAGAAAACGTTCAAAGCAGCGCCGTCAAATTTCTCACAATCCAAGAAACCCAGCCGGCTCAGGTTTTATATCAAAAAAAAAATTCCTTGTGTTCTTGGCTACATAATGGGTGAAACGGTTTTTTAAAAAGGATATCTCATCCCTTGTAAGTCATTTTTTAGGGAGTCGAATACGAATCAAGACTACTTGTCGGTGGCGATAATGTGAGTTTTGCTTTGAATTCTTTAAAATTAAATTTTAGTCGTCTGCTGATTTATTTGTTCGTCGTTTAATTGCCACGTTAAACTCTTTGAAGTTGCCTCGACGTCGCCTTCTTGTGAGTTTTTAGCTACCTATGATTTTGGTCGTTTAAAATAATCGGAAGCTAGAACAAATTAGCTCGATGAAATTTTTCTCATTTATTTAGGTTTGTTTGGGATTCGATGAAGACACTCTTACTGTGGAAGTCATGCAAGCTGCCCTACAAAAGATTGAAACCCATTTTTCTAGGGTATGTTGGACTAAATCAAACTTTATTGCATTCTTTTAGGTCTAATGTGTTTTACTCAACGTCAACATCTCCAGCAGCTGAAACCGTAAAGAAGAAGAAAAACGAACACAACATATTTCAAATACAGGTAATTAGTTCAAAAAGTTTTCCAATCATACAATCAGTTTTAGACCAATTTCACGTATGGACCGAAGCAAAAGGGAAACAAAGCACATCTTGATCAGCAAATCGCGATCGCCGGCAGACTGGACAATCTCTACGCTTGGCAAAGGGAGGAGAGAAAAGGGCGAGAAGTGTAAGTTTTGGGAATATCTCGAGGAACTTGTTATATACTTTCAAGCAGCTTGTGCCTTAGCACTAATAAAATAATTTAGTTTCGAACTTCTTGATGGTCCACCATATGCCAATGGAAGTGTACATGTTGGACATGCTGTGAACAAAATTCTTAAGGATTTTATTGTCAAAAGCCAAATGGCTCTTGGTAGGTGTTATTTAATTAATTCTATTGATAAATTTTTAACTTTTAGGAAAGCAAGTTCGCTTCCGCCCCGGATGGGATTGTCACGGATTGCCAATTGAGTTGAAAATTCGAAAGGACGTGAAGGTTAAGGTTTTGTTAATAACTCTATTACATTTGATTTTAAGGAGAAATCAGACATTCAAATACGGGAAATGGCTATTGAAGTGGCTCAGGAGGCCATCGATAAACAAAAGCAAGCATTCAGGTAAATTTTTTAGCAAATGTTAACAAAACTTAATTTAGGCGATGGGGTGTAACGGGTGACTGGGAGAATCCCTATCTAACAATGAACGTCGATTATGTAGCCGAGGAGTTGCGACTTTTTGGGGACATGTTGAAGAGCGGACTTGTTTATCGGAAGATTCGGCCCGTACATTGGTGAGTTTAAGGAAAAAAAGTTGGACTGATGATATTTGATAGTTTTACGCCATATCAACCATCAAACTTTAGGTCACCCAGCTCACAAACTGCGCTCGCCGAATCCGAATTGGAATATGTACCAACTCACCAAAGCATTTCTTGCTTCTTTCGCTTCAAAGTAAAAACTTTTTATGCAGATTACATTGTCGTGTTTCATTTTAGATGATCTCATCAGCTCCACTCGAAAATCTCAATATTTTCCACCTAGACCGACCAATTGTTATTTATGCTCTCATATGGACGACGACTCCTTGGACTCTCCCGCTGAATGATGCGATTTGCATAAAGAATGATGTTGATTACTGTGCCATTCAATTTGATGACGAAAAGAAGTATGTTTGAGAGAGCTCAAGAATACTAGAAATTATGTAATACATTACTATATCTGCACGTTAGTACTCCCGTCAATACGGTGTATTTGGTCGCCAAGTCATCAGTATTGGATCTACAAACGAAATTGAACAAAAAGGTATTTACAACGTTAAAACTTCATTGCCTAATTTATATTTTAGTTAAACATTGTTGGTTCGATTTCTGGGAAGTCACTGGAGGGACTTCATTATCGAAGTTGTTGGTTAGTGGTTTTTCTTATATTCATTTATATCTTTCTATAGGCACAACGAATTGGCGCTGCCGATCTACGCTTCATCTCACGTTTCAACCAGCAAAGGAACGGGACTAGTTCATGCAGCTTTTGCACATGGGGCCGAGGATTATCAGGTGGTTATGAAAGTACGATAATTCAAAGTAATCAAATCAAAATCAAAAAGGCAAAATACGATTAAAAATTCAGGTTTCACTTTTGCATGGACGTGATGTACACTGCTTCGTCGATTCAAGAGGCTGTTATACGAGAAATTTGGGTCATGATCTTGAGGGAAAGGTAATCATTAAAAGATCATTACTAATTTAAAGCTATTACGCAAATAAATCTACGGACGTATTTTTAGGATGTGCTCACTGATGGGCAAAAGGAAGCGATGAAGTTGTTGCATCGGGATATTGTTCACGCCGTTCCCTTCGAACACTCATATCCGTATGATTGGAGAACGAAAAAGGTAGAATAAATGTTGACTAATGATGAGCAAGACTGAACGTTGTACCTTTGTAGCCAGTCCTTATTCGGGCCACTGCGCAATGGTTTATTAACACTTCAATCATCGGACATACGGCAGTCGACTTGTTGAAAGATGTTCATGTAGGATCAGGAAAAATTGGTCAGTTTTTGATCACGGGAAAAGCAACTAAATGCCGTTGGGTCTTCCTTTATTTCATTTTAGATCAATCGGAGGAGCTGCGATCTCTACTCTCAAGTCGGAAGGAGTGGTGTATTTCGAGACAACGAGCATGGGGAGTTCCAATTCCAGCATTCAGAGATGATCGAGGTTTTCTTTAACACAATAAGTTACAAACTTAAGGAGCTATACCCATAGTTTGGTTGAGTAAGCTCGTTTAGATAATGAGTACTCGTCGAAAGAACTGTGTGACCGTGTCGCCGACCTCACCGAGAAATTTGGGATACATGCTTGGTGGACCCGCGATGAATCGGAGTTTTTAACAAACGATGTATACATTTCTTGGCTTTATAATCATGTTTAATTGAGCTTGTTTAAAGAAATTTTTAGGTAAAAGCTTCATTGAATCTACCGTCAGCAGATGTCGTTTTAAAGAAAAGTCACAATGTGATGGACGTTTGGATGGATAGTGGTTTAGCTTGGCACTGTGCTCGGAAAAATTACAATGGTATGTTTCAAAAGAACCGTCAAGGGCTTAACTGCGAATCGCTGAAGTTGTTAACGAATTGTAGATGCTGATGCGAAACGACCAGCAGATGCGATTCTTGAGGGTGTCGACCAATCACGAGGATGGTTCAGTTCTTTGGCGCTAACCGGAGCCGCTTTGAATGTGGGTACATTTTTTTCTTTGAATGTGGGAACAAGTATCCACGGACCTCGCCCTGAGGTCTGAGAAGTTCGATCGTAATTCAACTTGCTAAAGACGGAGTTTAAACTTTAGAAGTCTGTCCCATTCAAACGAATTCTCGTTCACGGTTTTTGTCTAGATGATGAAGGAAAAAAAATGAGCAAATCACTGGGAAATGTTGTTGACCCGGAGACGGTTAGTCATACATTTTGATTAGCAAAGCAACTTAGTTTCAATGATTATTTTAGGTCACCGATGGAACGTTACGAAGCAAAGCACTGGGAGCTGATGGATTAAGACTGTGGGTAGCTCTTCATGGATCAGAAGGAAGTCAGCCATCAAGAATTGGACCGGTCATCTTAGAGGATATTGATTTACAGGTTTCTTTGGGAAGATTGCTTTAAAAAGACTAGTTTAAGCAGCTTTCTTCAAACATAAAATGGTTAATTATTTAGTTAACAAAATTGCGAAAGATGTTCTACTTTTTGTTGGGGTCTCTTCACGATTATCAAGGGCAAAAACCATCAAAGTTACCGCTGCTAGATCAGGTTTTTTGTTTGGCAAAGTTCTTTTACAATCTTTTTCCTAGATTGTTCTAAATGATCTACATTCATTGGTGAAAGATTCTCTTCGATTTTACAAAGAGTACCGCTTCAAAACGTTGATGCAGAATTTATTGCTCTTTGCACAGGATAATGTGAGCAAGAGCTACATAGTAGGTGTTCAGAATTACCTAATTAAAAAACCCAATCTTTATTTTCAAGTGAAGATAATTCTTTTAAGCACTATGTACACGATCGTTTATATGTTGACGCAAGTGGTTCGGAATCTCATTTGGCTGCTCAATACACCATGAATCAAGTAAGTTGCTGTCTTTTTCAGATATTTATTGCTTATTTTTAGCTTATCATCAACCTCTCACAACTCATCGCACCAATTTTGCCTCATTTGGCCATTGAGATTGCAACTCATCGGAAAAATATTGATTCAGAGAAGGTAGTTTTAACAAAATTTGTTCAAATCGAGTAAGCTTTAGGCTCTTCAATTTGAATTCGACTCTTGGGAAACGCCAGAAGAACAATATTCGCTATGCATGGACGCGGATCTCAAAGAAATAAAGGAAATCGTTGGAAAGATTCGTCTCGAAATCGGACGACTTACTCCAGAGAAGAGCGATGCTTCAAAAATGGTAATGTTTTGAAATTTTGTGAAGTTATGATATGCTTGGTAGTGCTAATAGCCCCGTGACACCTATACTTCTTTGTATTCATTGGTGATTTTAGGCAGCTGTTGTCAATTTGGATTCCGAGTCTTACAAGAAGCTTTTTCGACTGCATCCATCAATGAAAAGCACCAAAACGGAGTTAACAGAATTGATTGGCGTTTCACAGGTATTTTTTATCTAGATTTGAACATACCGATAAGGGTACATGCTAGCAGACTTTACAAATAAATGATGGACTGCCAAGCGCAGATACATTCCGTTTCAAATAATATTTAAATCTTTAGATAACTTTACGAGATAGCGGTGGCGACTCTGAAATGACGGTTCGACTCGAGAAACCTGATAGTGATCACTGTAGTCGGTGCCGGAGAATGCGAAAACTTCCAAATGATCATCCGTATTGTGTTTTTTGTAATCAATCACTTAGAACTATGGGTCTTTTGTAGTTTAGAATTGTGTAAAACTTTGTTTTTTTATTTGTGAGACTTTCTTTTATAGCTTTAACGTGGTCGCTTTTTGATGTTATATTTAGTTTTTAGAATTAGATCATTTTTGTTATGTTGTTTTGTTTTGTGATTAAACATTGTGCCGAAAAATATGGCTATGCGATAATACGTGGTATTCTCATGGATTGCGGTAATAGACTGACTATGGTCTTTTAAACCCACCTTTGCATTACAAACAGGGTACAAGGGCATCGTGTCGCAGACGCAATCCGGTCGGCACATCGGGAACGTATTGTTGTTGAGACTGAAATTGTGAATGCTTGTAGAGTTGAATAGTTTTCGCTTACATTGACTGTTTCCCAATGTCCCCGAGCACACTATTGCATCCAACACCAGCGTTGAGAAAAGAAAGACACGCGGCAACGAGGGAGCACACGCCCACCCAGCCGGCCGCTTTTCGGCCCTGAAAATTGGATTTTGAAAAAAATAAAAATTGGTTAGTAGATCGTTTGCTAAATTAGAATAGCATAATTACGGAATGAACTTGTCAATTTTATTGTGCCCAAAAAACAAAAAATTTTTTGGCTAGCTTCACTTTTAAAATCTTTAAAGATTTTTGGGCCAGCTTCTCAATGGATTAAAGCATCACCTGTAGCTTCCAATATCGCATCGCAAAGGCCCCCGTTCCGACGCCGATCGCAAAGCCGACAACTCCGGAGACAGCTAAAAGCTTACTAGTTAGCTTGATTAGCACAAATTTCTTCAATTCAATACAAATCTGCTTCGATAGCTATTGGACTTGTTCCCCTGGACATGTGCTTTATGTTGCAAAAACGTATCCTTTCTGGTGCACTCATTCGTTTCTTTATCTTGAAATTTGCTGCTTGAGAAAAATGCAAAGAATCGAGTGCAGCAGAAAGGGTTTTTTTTACAAGTGTTGAGCCGAATGGAATTGGCACAGAAAAGGTAATTGAATTGGTGAATAAGTTTTTTCGTTCCTTTGTCGTTGAAAAAAAAAAAACACAAATTCACCAATTCGCCAATTCACCAATTCATCAAATCACATATGGTTTCACCAATTGAATTGATGAATTGATGAATTGGTGAAAGCATATGTGTATGGCTTCACCAATTCACCAATTCATCAATTCATTCTCGAAATAAAAAGTGTTCATTGCTCAATTTCTCATCGTTTTAAGTGAATTTCGGCTGACTTTAAAAACAAATTCGAAAGTGCTAAAATGGTTTTTTTTTCGTGAAAATCTTCTGTGGAAACGTCTACGTTGAAGTTGAAATTGGTTGAATGAGTTTCGCTGAAAATTCGGCGACTATAAGCCAAACTTTTTTTGGCTCTATCTTTTATCGTTTGACACCAAGTGAGGATTTCCTTGGCCTTTCATTAAAATCTCATTTTTGGCCAACCTAAAACACTTACCCATGGATTGTTGAATTCGGTGCTGCGGGATGCCGAACTGGATTTCCATGTACTTGCCGAGGAACACGAAAAAGCCCTGGAAGAAGATTTTGGTTGGTTTTTATTGGTTTTGGTTTTAGGGTTTGGTTTTAGGGGTTTGGTTATAGGGTTTGGTTATAGGGTTTTGGTTATAGGGTTTTGGTTTTAGGGGTTTGGTTTTAGGGGTTTGGTTATAGGGCTTTGGTTATAGGGGTTTGGTTTTAGGGGTTTGGTTTTAGGGGTTTGGTTTTAGGGGTTTGGTTTTAGGGTTTGGTTTTAGGGGTTTGGTTATAGGGGTTTGGTTTTAGGGGTTTGGTTTTAGGGGTTTGGTTTTAGGGGTTTGGTTTTAGGGGTTTGGTTATAGGGCTTTGGTTATAGGGGTTTGGTTTTAGGGGTTTGGTTTTAGGGGTTTGGTTTTAGGGGTTTGGTTATAGGGCTTTGGTTATAGGGGTTTGGTTTTAGGGGTTTGGTTATAGGGTTTTGGTTTTAGGGGTTTGGTTTTAGGGGTTTGGTTTTAGGGGTTTGGTTGGTTCTTTTCCAATATCGGGGGAGCGGTCCGATTATCGGGGGAGCGGAAAGAAAATCGGGGAAGCGAAAGGAAAATCGGGGGAGCAAATTTTGCCCCCTCGAAAAATGCATTTCTGGGACTTTTATTTTAACTGCAACGTTTTTTTTAAACTTTAACGACGATGCGCTTCTCCGATATTTGTGCGTTCAAGGAATCGACGGCAATCGATTATTTCGTCACCAAAGGAGTCATCCAGTCGTGGATTTGCAACTGTGGCGAATCGATGAAAGTCCGCTCAAAGGGAAAAGATCTATTTCGCTGGGTATGTGACACTTGCGCACGGCGAAATGTCCCCAAGCATTCAAGAGGAATTCGAGTCGATAACTTTTTGCAACAAAGCAAGCTCCCGTTTGTCACAATTTTAAAGTTCATACATCTATGGAGCCAGGGACTCACGACAATCAAACACTGTCAACAGGAGCTCGGCATTAGTGGTGACACCGTTGTTGAGTGGAACTACTTTCTTCGCCAAGTGTGCGCTTGGAAAATCAAGAAGCTTTCGATTAACAAGATCGGTGGTGCCGGACTCACCGTGGAGATCGATGAATCGCTGATCGCAAAGCGCAAAAACCACGCCGGTAGGATGCTGCCAGAACGTTGGCTTTTTGGTGGTCTGTGTCGTGAAACAAGGGAATGCTTCGCTTTTATTGTGCCGAACCGAACGGCTCCGGTTCTGCTTGAAGCGATTCGAAAACATATCGAAAAGGGGGACTCGAATCATCTCTGATGGATGGCGTGCATACCAAGGGCTTCTCACTGACCCAAATTACGATTTTGCATGGGTCAACCACTCGACAAATTTTGTTTTGCCGGCAGATCCGACCGTGCACACGCAAAGAATCGAGCGAATGTGGAAACCGTTTAAAGACATGAACAGACGTCGACACGGCACCCACGGCACCATGGTGGATTCGTATATCGCTGAGGGATTGTGGCATCGCAATTTGCCTGCCGGAGTAAATGCATTCGAGTCGATCATGGAGGACATCGTCGATTTTTGGCCCCAGGGGCGGAAATGAATACAATCCCTTTTACAGTTAATTTGTGATTGCTAGAAAGGTTTTGTTTTGGTTACTTTTGTTTTATTTTGGTTACTTTTCTTTTTGTTTTGGTTACTTTTGTTTTTGTTTTGGTTACTTCGCTTACATTTCTTTCGTTGTTATGATCAATTATACTATTAATGAATAAATTTTTAGGTAGCCATTTGTTCGTTCGGGATTGTGGAGCGTTCGGCAAAAAGAGAAGGCGGCCGATAGGGAAGGTAGAGGTATGTTTGGTGTTAGATATTTAAGTCACTTTTGTGATCTAATATAAAGGTTGTGAGAATAACGGGTAATTCGCGGATTTTATGGCAGTACTTTGGATAATATAGGACATATGTAGCGCTGCCAAAAAATTTAAAAAAAAACGTTGCAGTTAAAATAAAAGTCCCAGAAATGCATTTTTCGAGGGGGCAAAATTTGCTCCCCCGATTTTCCTTTCGCTCCCCCGATTTTCCTTCCGCTCCCCCGATAATCGGACCGCTCCCCCGATATTGGAAAAGAACCCTTTGGTTATAGGGTTTGGTTATAGGGTTTGGTTATAGGGTTTGGTTATAGGGTTTGGTTTTAGGGGTTTGGTTATAGGGTTTTGGTTTTTGGTTTTAATCTTTAAGCTACTTATTATCTATTGGACTTGTTCCCCTGGACATGTGCTTTATGTTGCAGAAACGCGTCCTTTCTAGCGCACTCATTACAAGATCAAGCTTATTTCGATTAGATTTTATGACTAGCTTTCCAGTTTTTGTTTCTTTTCAAAGTTTACGCTTTTCACCTTGAAAGCGAAAACGTCGAGAATCCGACCGATGAGTGATCCCGTGTAGATTGGACTTTTTAGCACCGAATAAATCGTCTTGAAGAAATCTGGAATTTTGTTTTTACCGATAAATAATACCTCTTTATTTGTGGATATTTAAAAAATTAACTCTAAAAAACGATTTGTCAATTCTTTTGTTTATAAATAGATAAATAGAAATCACAAATTTAACGGCATCCAAAGTTCGATTCTTTGTCTTTAGTTTCGTAGCGGTTTTTTGATTGAATAGGTTTTGATTTCTATAGGTTTTCGACGAGAAATGGTAACCCCTAGTATTCTTAGACTTGTTCTTGTTTTTAAAAACTTATTAGATGATTTCATTTATGATTTCAGTCACTAGCTATCCATCTAACCTCTAACTTTGTCCTCGACCGTTTCCGGCATGAAAGCTTTTCCATCGGAGCGCTTGCGAACGTGCTTGTCGACAAGGTTTAGACGACGTTTCTTTGGACTGAAATTTTTTCAATGAAAGTTTAAATTAAATTTAAAGTATAGTTATTATTTAATTTAAAACTCTCAATAATTTCACCTTTCAATTGGAAAACGAAATTAGAATTAGAATTAGAATTAGAATTAGAATTAGAATTAGAATTAGAATTAGAACTAGAATTAGAATTAGAACTAGAACTAGAATTAGAACTAGAACTAGAATTAGAACTAGAACTAGAATTAGAACTAGAACTAGAATTAGAACTAGAACTAGAATTAGAACTAGAACTAGAATTAGAACTAGAACTAGAATTAGAACTAGAACTAGAATTAGAACTAGAACTAGAATTAGAACTAGAACTAGAATTAGAACTAGAATTAGAATTAGAATTAGAATATTTAAAACTTTAGAAATGAAATCCTTTAACTGACCCGGTTCCATTCTCGGCCGCTTTCGCCTCAGCTGCCTCCTCTTCTTCGCTCAATGTGCCGGATGGGAATAGGAATAAGGCTGTAAATGAATTTTACCCCGCCGATTCAACTTTGTACCGCAAATGCTTTGAGTTGTTAAAATTTAGAGTTTTCTACTCAGTCTAGAGCTTGAATTTTCGAGATCTAAAGCTATATTTGACTGCTTTGACTTCGATGTACTTCTTTGACTTCAAAGTATCCCTCTTGCTCAATCAGCTGAATTTCTCAGCCTCGAGATTTTCCTAACTACACTTTTGGTACCAAAAAATACTAGAATTCAAGGCCTAGAGACAAGGGCTATCGTTTGACACCTACGCAGTAGCATAAAGCAGCGCGGAGAACGGGACGTTCAAAGTTAGACTCCACGACGATACGCCCGTCATTATGTGATGACGATACACTCATTTATTTCCGGACAACCTAATACTTTAATAAAAAGCTTCGTATTAGAAAGCTTCTTTTTAGAAAATCATTTTTACTCAGCCCCTAGATGTTTCTTAACTACTTCTAGTATCAAAAAATACTAGATTTCAAGAGCTATCATTTGACACCTAAGCGCAAACTGTGGCTTAAAGCAGCGCCGAGAAAGAGACGTTCAAAGTTAGATCACACGACGATACGCTCGTCATTATGTGATGGCGTTCTATTAGAGGATTTACGGTCGGTTTTACAGAATGCACCAGAAATAGCGGAGTATTTTTGGCGAATCTTTCTTTTTTGTCAACCTTTTCATAGTGTTAAAGAGTTCGAACATTTTTGAAAATAAGTAACCAACATCCATTAACCGATTCGACTACAAGTTAAAACTCAAAACTTTGAAACCTGAACTTTTTGCCAGTCATTAAATTTTGATAAGCTTACAATTCCATTGCTTGATATTGCAATTGCTTGATTGCAATTGCTTGTTATTGTAAAATTTGGTAAATTAGCTTAGTCGCTGTTTTTTGTTAAAGCTTTTGATAAAGGAAAAAAAGTTAAACCAAAAAAAGCTTGTTTCAAATTTAATGAAGTATCTGACTGATTAAATAAAATAATTTCGCGAACCTAGTTTTTCAGTTTTCGCTCTCAATTTCTTTATTTTCAGTGCTATTTTCCGTTTCGATTCTGTAAATTTTGCTGATCCACTTTATTCATTTGCTGAATAAAGTATCTACCGTAACTGCTGTATTAGAATGGCGCCCTCCTGACGCCTCGAAATCTTGACTTTAGACACTCCTTGCATGGGTTCTTTGAATAGATCTAGACCTAAAACCTACTACCATATTTTCTCTAATAGTAGTGCACCGTGTCGAGCCGAGTTGATGACTATTTTACGGTTTCTAAGTTTTCCCAGAAGCTCAGCACTCTAATCATCGTCGAGATCTCATCGTCAGCTACATTTTCCGACCCACATCGATAGGTTCTGATAAGCGGTTCTCGAGATTTCAAGGAATTTAGGTGACGCTCAAGGTGCACTACTATTAGAGAAAATACGGTATATCCCTAAAATGCCGTGGGCCGTATCGTCGCGAATTAGAATGTATTAGAATGGCGCCCTTCTGATCCCTCGAAATCTTGACTTTAGACACTCCTTGTGTGGGTTCTATGAATAGATCTAGACCTAAAACCTACTAATATTCTATTGGCAGTAAAATTTAAAAGGTTATTTTTGAAAGAAGATATATAACGATCCCCCACATGGATTTTAAAGGGGGTCGCGGGTTAGAATTTACTTTCTTTTTTTTTCTTTTTAACCATTTCCCCTTTCTACCCTTAATCTTGTCTCCAATTTTTATTTAATTTTAATTTTATCATGAAAAATAGAAAAATCTAAGATCTAAGGGTCCCTCACATGGATTTTTTGGAGATTTTTTGCAGATTCAAAGCGGGTCACGGATAAGAAAATAATTTCACTTTGTTTTTTGTGTTTTTTACGTTTTAGACAAAGGGTAATTGTTTAAAATTGTTTAAAATAAATTTAAAATGCTCTTACCTACATTTTTAAACGAATTCTAAATTTTTTGATTCATTTGGGGACCACATGAATCAAAAATTTAGAATTTCCTCTTACCTACTTTTTCGATCCGATCGATTTCAAGGAATTCAAGGGATTCAAGGGAAAATAGGAATGACATTTCATTCTAATACAGCACTTACGGAGAAATTCAGAATTTCAGCACTTAGACTCAGGAATTGATCTTTTTTTGACTCACCGATAGACGGGAAAAGGAGTAAAATGCCGAAGATGAAAAAGCCGAGCCACCAGCAACCGATCCACGCCGGATCGAGCGGTGAGAGGCCTTGGGGAGCTGGAAAAGGAGATGTTTGAACGAATTTTGAACGGACTACTAACATACGAAATTCACGGGTGTCGAATGTAGTCAAAAATAAATTGAAACATGATTGTCTAGTCGCTCAAAATTTGGTTTTAATCAAAGTTAGTTTTGATCAAAATTAGTTTTTTAATAAAATCAAAGCTATTTTTAATGGTCTATACTTTTAAGATGATAAATTGTTAAATTCAGCATTTTTTCTTGATAAAATCTAGCGTGACAGTACAACAAATCAAATCAAATCAAAGCACAGCAAATCAAAGCACAGCACAGCACAACACAGCACAACACAGCATAGCATAGCATAGCACAGCACAGCATAGCATAGCATAGCACAGCACAGCACATCACAGCACAGCATAGCATAGCACAGCACAGCATAGCACAGCACAGCACAGCACAGCACAGCACAGCATAGCACAGCACAGCACAGCACAGCACAGCATAGCATAGCATAGCATAGCATAGCATAGCATAGCAAGTCAAAGCACAGCAAGTCAAAGCACAGCAAGTCAAAGCAAATCAAATCAAATCAAATCACGTTCATTAATGATTTGTTGATTATTGATTGTTGATTGATTGAATGTTGTTTTTTATTTCTTTTATTTCGATTTTTTTTGAAAACGATGAATAATTTGTGAAAATAGATTGCAAATTGAGATTTTAATTCAAGAAAAACATTAACTCACGATCAAAGTTCACGTAGACCCGATTGAGGCCACTGCCGACGAGAAGCCCGATGATTGGTCCAAGGATTTTCACAAAGAACATACCGGCTGAAAATTCGTTGATAACATTTTGCAATAAATATTAAATTATATTGCATATTGCAATATAATTTAACTTTAATTTAACTATTATATTGCAATCATAATTTTAGCATACCAAAATATACTGGCAAGTTCTTCTTTTTCACATTGTCATCCATAAGTGGAAGGCCAAGAGAGAAGGGCATTGTTCTAAGGAAAAAAAATCGTCGTTCATTGAGTTTTTCTTGGGTTGTTGAATTGAAAGCTTGATTTTTGATTCTCTACAACTTTTCCATTGACACCAAAATGGGTTTCTTTTGAAGAAAGTGCTCAAACTGTCACATATGACAATAGCCGGCAGCTTTCAATTCACCAACCCAATAGTTTTAATTGAACAAAGTTAAAAGATACTTTCAACATAGCAAGAGGCATTTTACCCCCAGTGGTGAGAAAACCCAATGAAAAGGACCTTTTTCGCCGGGGGTCGACCCTTTCCGATTGAGAGTTCCTAACCAGTCGCTGGTTTGGCTTTTTATTAAAAGCGCCTTGCTTTAAAAGCTATTTATAGTCAAAGGTTAAATTTTAGATTGTAAGAATTCAGAGAATTCAAAGGTTGGATTGAAAGCTTTGACGACAAAGCCAACAGGCTTGGCCTCTTGGCTAACAGGCTTGGCCTCTTGGCTAACAGGCTTGGCCTCTTGGCTAACAGGCTTGGCCTCTTGGCTAACAGGCTTGGCCTCTTGGCCAACAGGCTTGGCCTCTTGGCCAACAGGCTTGGCCTCTTGGCCAACAGGCTTGGCCTCTTGGCCAACAAAGCCATTTTTAGCTTGGCTATCATTTCGGACGGCTATCTATGAAGAAATTTGTTAAAAACTTTCATCAAAGCACTCACTTATACAATTTTGAATGTACTCTACGTATCGAACGTACTCTACGTATCGAGCGTATCGAACGTATCGAGCGTATCGAACTACGTATCGAACGTACTCTACGTATCGAAGGTACTCTACGTATCAAACGTATCCGAATAGAGAGCTTTGTGATGTTTTTAGACCGATGCTAATGTTTATTGCTAGATTTTCAAGGCTTTCAAGGCTATTTCATTAAAGGCAGGAATTCTTGAGCTCAGTTCGACTATTTTATCCTTTTCTAGTTAAGGAAAGACTTGAAACAAGCTCGAAATCGGTTTTGATACGATTATCTGTTATTTTGGTTATCTATTGAGCCAAATAGATTTCTATTTAATCAATTAATTTCTATCAATCATTTCTTTTACCTGCCGACTCCCAAAATGAGCAATCCGGTGAAAATGGTGATGAATGGACCCGCTGAGCTCTTCTCTTTCAGCGCATTCGGTTTCGGCGTTCTGAAAGAGACAAAAAACGAGTTAGGCAACGGTTTCTCAGTGTTCGTTTTGTCAAATTTTGTCAAGTAATTGAACGCAATGCTTGAATTGAACACATGGCAATGATCGTCTGATTCTTTTTAAGCAAAAAAACAGGCTTTTAATCTAAAAGAACCCGAAAAACTCGGTTAACACCTGGTTTTTTTGCCCCGAAACGATAGACGCCGTGGCGCAGTCGGGAACGCACATTTCTACAGCTCTCCTGGCTCGGGTTCGAACCCCCGTAGTGCCCCTGAGCCCTGATTTTTCAATTTTTCATTTTAAATTCAACTAGATTATATATTTCGTAGCCGTTTACGAAATTCAGCCGCTAACGAATCATTCGTTAACGGCTAGCCGATTACGAATCAATGAATACGAATGAATAAATACGAATCAATCGATACGAATCAATGAATACAAATCAATCAATGCGAATCAATCAATAAGAATCAATGAATACGAATCAATGAATGAATGAATGAATGAATGAATCAATCAATCAATACAAGGTTACCATATTCTATTCTAATAGAAGCACAGCCTCCAATAAAAGCAATTTGGTGGAATGATTGAAAAATAGAAACACTCCCTCGAATAGAAGCACTATAGATATTCAGCTTAGTAGACTGAATATCTTTAGTTTTAAGCCTTTAAGAATATATAAAGCGTTTCCTTGGGAAAAATTGCATTCTTTATCATTTGTTTTTAGCAATTTTGATGTTTTTGAGCGGTAAATTTGATAAGTTAGCAATTTTGATGATTTCTTGTAGTTAAGTAGCTCAATGATTCATTGACTCAAAGCTCAATCATTTGAAACGAATGATTCGTTAGCTGAATTTTGTAAACGGTTACGACATATATATATTGAAACTTTAGAAACGATTTCAGCTTTTTTTGGCCTAAAGACGGCTGAGAAAAAGCCGTCTTTGACGGACGGACGAACGGACGGACAAAAACTACTCTTTTATATACCTTTTGCCTCAAATGATTCAATCCGGAGTGGCAGAAAGCGAATGGATACGAGGAGAGGATTCGCACACCGGCCATCAATTCCTCGCCGACGCTCACTAGCGGACTGAGAAGCTCCTGGAAAAGGGAAACGCTCAAAAACTCTCAAAAACCGGAAAGTTTGAAAGGAAAGAAGATTTATGGCGTAATTTACATTGAAACATAAACATTGGTCTTTTATAATTGGCCAAATTGGTCTTTTGAGTTTACGGTAGTTGTACACGGTTTAGAAATCATGAATTGCACCTTTTCAAGGTGCAAATTGCACCTTTTACCCTCCTTTCAAGCCGTGAACAATTCGCCGATGAATTCTTAAACTTAAGCCGAAGCTATGGGGGTGTGACAAATGCGACCCTTTTTTTTTGCGCACCTTTTTTTTTGCTGGAAAAGGCCTTAGGAAAGGTCGTAGAGCTTCGAAAATATTTCCATATAAGGGAATCGTATGCGTAGATTCCGAATTTCGACAAATCAGACCTCGCTGACACGTCAAATTTGGGTTAAAAGGCAAAAACTACGCAACTTAACGCTTTTCCGCAGCTTTTGCCTTTCAGCCCAAATTTGACGTGTCAGCGAGGTGTGATTTGTCGAAATTCGGAATCTACGCATACGATTCCCTTGTATGAAAACATTTTCGAAGCTCTACGACCTTTCCTAAGGCCTTTTCCAGCAAAAAAAAGGTGCGCAAATGTCCAGGTGCGCAAAAAAAGGTAGCATTTGTCCCACCCCCGAAGATATTCAGCTATTAAATGTTTATTTTGGATTTAGAGAAATATAGGAATTGAACTGTTTAAAAATCGATGTTTCAAGTTGAACACTTTTCAAATTTTCAAAATTTTTTAAATTTTAATTTTTTTGATTCCTGAAGTACTAAAAGTTGAAAAAAAAACAATATGCTTTTTCTAAGCTCGATTTATCTTTTAGCAATGAATTTGCGGAAAAACCTACCGTAATCCTTTTGCACACCGTGTTTTTCTCTTCATAAAAGCACAACAATTGATATTTCGAGAACGGAGATGAGAAATGCAATTTCGGGAGTTTCTGACCAGCCTAAGATTAGCGAATTATGCAATTTTAAAAGTGATAAAGCTAAAAAATGCTTTTAAAATCTTTAAATCTTCCTTTTACATTTAAATATTTGAAAATTCAAACAGTAACTCACATAAGCCGCTTGAAGTTCCCCTTTCGGGTCGACTTTCTCCAAAAACTTCTCGAAAGTCACCACTTCCGATCGATTTTGCAATCTGTAAGTGATTTTTTTTTATTTTACAACTACCCAAATAGTTTGAGCTTTAAAATAAACTTGTTAAGTTTACAGAAAAGCTAGGGAACCAAATTGAAGGAGATAGTGAACCAAATTTAAAGAGATAGGGAACCAAGCTAGTGTTGCTTCGTTTTTTTATTAGGCTTGCCGGAAAGTCTTATCCTTTTTTTAAAAAGTAACTTTTTAAAATGAATAATGAACCAAGCGATTTATGATTTCTTTTATCAAAAAATTCTATTATTTATTTACAAATTGTTCTTTAAGAAATTCTGAAAAGCTTGCGTTAATTCATTTTTTTTAAACATGCAAAGTCGAGGAGTCAAAAGCGATAAAACTAGTTCTAATTTGAACACTTTTTCTCATAGAAATCTACAGGCTGGCTGAGAATGGCTGGCTGAGAATGGCTAGCTGAGAATGGCTGGCTGAGAATGGCTGGCTGAGAATGGCGTGCTAAGAATGGCTGGCTGAGAATGGCTGGCTGAGAATGGCTAGCTGAGAATGGCTGGCTGAGAATTAAGTGCTAAGAATGGCTGGCTGAGAATTAAGTACTGAGAATGGCTAGCTGAGAATTAAGTGCTAAGAATGGCTGGCTGAGAATGGCTGGCTGAGAATTAAGTGCTGAGAATGGCTGGCTGAGAATGGTAAGTGCTAAGAATGGCTGGCTGAGAATTATGTGCTGAGAATGGCTGGCTGAGAATTAAGTGCGCCAAATTTAATTTTCTTTTACAACAATTTAACAGCTAATTATTCATTTATAGACGAAAATTTCAAAAAAAGTGGACAAGACTTTCTGGCTAAAGAATGAGTAAAAGATTTTTCGAGATTTCGACCTCATTCTTTCTTTTGAAACACTGTTTTTAATTCAATTCGAAATCACAATGATTCAAATTTTGTGATCTCCAAAACAATTAAAAACATTTTGTGCAAAAAATTGGCAAAAAAAATTGGCAAGAAATTGATAGATTTGGCTATTGAAAATAGATGAAAATCAATGAAAATCATCCGATGAACATCCCATAACTAGCTTCTGACCACAATGCTACCCTTCCACTAACTTGAAACATTAACTTTTCAAAGTCAAAAATCTCTTTTATTTTTCAAATTTTTCTAGTTTAAAGGTGTTTTTAGACAATTTATATATGTTTATATAATAAATAAATCTTTTAAATGTGTTTCGAAACGTTTAAACTTACCGTGCCGTCTCGTAGGCGAGTGCTGTTGGGACATTGTTTCCATCGAGGTGAAACTCCTCGACGGGAAAGACGAAATTCGATGAGGAGATCATCAGATTAGCAATCGCAATCAGAATACACCCACCACCGATCCACCGGGCACGATTACCCTACACAAATATAGAGAATTTCGAGAAGTTTTCATTTTTAGAGCTTTAGAGCATTTTTAGGTACTTTAGCTTTGGTACTTTAAGCAAACACTGATTATTGTTTGTTTAAAGTACCAAAGAGGGCAGGAAAACCCAATTTTCTAGGCTAAAGCTTGGCTAAAGCTTGGCTAAAGCTTGGCTAAAGCTTGGCTAAAGCTTGGCTAAAGCTTGGCTAAAGCTTGGCTAAAGCTTGGCTAAAGCTTGGCTAGGATAAGCTTGCTGGCTAAAGCTTGGCTTTGTTGTTTGGTTTTCCGTCCGGCCTTAGTACCGGCCTGAACTCTTTATGCTTTTTTTTGTTCTCCTTACCTTTCCGCCAAAGTAACTCGTGAAAACGACCACTGGTATGTAGGCGAAATCTCCAGCGGAAACCATTGTTCCAGCCAAACGACTTGGAATTTGGAACTGTTTCTCAATGTAGACGACAGCACTAAAAAGCATTTAAAACCTCAAAAAAAGCGCGCTTCATTATCCCGTAAATATTCTCATAGAAGAGTTCTATAAAAAACATAGCAAAAGGTGGGAAAAAGTAGTGTTTATTTGAGAGTAAACTTAGACTAGGCGACGCTCCTAAAGGGGTTCTTCTATTAGGTTTATGCATAAGTCTTTACAATTGTTTTCATGGAAAAGAGTTCTTTAACAAGCTATTCAAAAGGTCTACCATTTCTCTACAAAATGGCTTTTGACAAATATTCCAATAGAACGGTCTAGAATAGAAGCGCCGCGTAGTCTAAGTTTACGCTCAAAGAATGGCTCAGATCTCGACACTAGTACGTTTGTTTCTACGCATTTTCATATCAAATTAAAGTAGAAAGATAGGGGAATTTTTTGAGCAATTACATATATTTTTAGCATAAACCAGTGCTTAGAAAAAAAATGATTGAAAAATGATGAAAAATCGCCTCTTTTTTTGCCATTTTTAAATCATTTTTTTTCTAAGCGCTGGTTAATGCTAAAGATATATTTTATATCTCAAAAAATCACCCATTTTCTCTACCTTAATTTGATATCAAAGCGTGCAGAAAGAAACGTACTGGTGTCGAGATATGAGCGTTTATTTGAGAGTCAACTTAGACTACGCGACGCTCCTATAGGGGCTTCTATTCGAATATTTACGATATCTTGAAGGTATAAGGATCAAATTTAGTCCAATTTCTCTTCATAACCTTTTATTTACAACATACAAAATTTTGGATTTGACTATGCAAAAATGTTAGTTTCAACTTTCCTAATATAAATGCGAAAAATGACTAGGTAACCCAGGCGCTTTGTGGCCAGCTTTGTTTTTCATTTTTTTACTTTTATATGTGTAATCGAGGGTGCCGTGCACGAATTTGAAAATTTTAGCATAGGTTTTCAACTGAAAAACCGACTCTAGCTCTAGTTTTGGCTCTAGTTTTGGCTCGATTGATTGCCTCGACTCTAGCTCTAGTTTTAACCCTGAAAAGTGTCCCGATTGATTGCCCGTTGATAGCTTGGGTACAGGAAATTCACGTGCAAAAAAAGTCTAATTTTCAACGTGTCCGAAATGTCGGTTTTTCAATTGAAAACCTATGCTAAAACTGTCAAATTCGTGGTCAGCGCCCTCGATTACCCTTATAAAAGTGAAAAAATGAAAAATATAGGTTCCCAGAGTAACAAAATCCATGTCATTTTTTTATTATGCAAAATTGTTTGTTCAAATATTTACAGAAACTTTTATTTAATTTACCGTATTCTCTCTAATAGTAGTGCGCACTACTATTTTTTGAACCCCCTCCTGGACCGCAATACTATTAGGTTGTCCAATAAGTAATGCGTGTTACTTATTTCGAAACTATTGCGAAATCGCTTCGAGCAAATATATGCTCTTTTTAATCATCAGCATCTTGTGTTTATTTTTATATATTATTTTATTCATTTGCCTTTGTTTTATAATAGATATGTTGTTTTGCAGATGAAAGACAAAAAAGTTTGTTGTCCGCGCATCAATGCTGTATGATTTCAAACGAGGTAAAACTGCAGCGGATTGCCATCGAACTATCTGTGCCGCATTTGGAGAGGATTCAATTTCAATCAGCCAGTGCCAGCGCTGGTTTAAACGATTTGCGGAGGGAAACGAGTCAAAAGTGTTGACGGGGTGCAAAAATGGCTCGACGATTTCTTCTCATCGAAACCAGCTTCATTCTATTATGACGGACTTCACTCTTTGCTCGGACGATGGAGAAATGTTGTTGATTGTTGTGGAGAATATATCGATTAATAAAGTTCTCTTTTGTTAATTTTGTGATATTTTGAAAATCGTGTCAAAACACGCATTACTTATTGGACAACCTAATATTAGAGAGTGCACTACTATTAAAGAGTTTTATCATTTACCGTCTTACCAAAGTAAGACAGATATAAGATTTGTTCCAACAATTCTTGCAATTCTTTCACATACTCCTTTGGCTCCTTTTTGACATACAGTAGTGGGCCGGCGAGTTGACAATTTGTGTTTTCTTGACATATCTTGACAAACAACAAAAAGATTTTTATGCACTTTGCACAACAATTTTAGATTTTTTGCTAACTTTTTATGTGAAGAATAGTTAATAAATGAATAAAAAAAGCCTCACTTTTGCTTGCTTGAATAGCTTTAGAATGTCACATAAACATAAAGTCAAAAAGGTTTCGATGAAAAAGAAGCACCAGAAATTTAAATTTTCGAGTGTGCACTACTATTTTTTGAACCCCCTTTCGGACCGCAATACTATCAGAGAGTGCACTACTATTAAAGAGTGCACTACTATTAGAGAGAATACGGTATTCAGTTTTTTTTTCCTTACCTTGTCATGTAAAAACCTCCGATTGACTCCAAAAAGTAAACGATACCGAATAAAATGAAAAACACGATCACCTGGAAAAAAACACGATCACCTAGTTTCAAGTTTGGAGTAAAATAAGGATGACGCTTTATTTTAATAACCCGTTCCTTACCCGATCCATTTTTGAAAGCTCTTTTTTTGTTAACGAATCATTGAATGGAAAAAAGGACTTCTACGGAAAGTGTTGGAAGCACCTGAAAATCATTAGGTATTGATTTGAAGACTTTGAAAAATAGAACAATAGAACAATAGAAAAATAGAAAAATAGAAAAATAGAAAAATAGGAAAATAGGAAAATAGAAAAATAGGAAAATAGGAAAATAGGAAAATAGAAAGTTTAATTAGTTCAGAATAATCTCAAACCAGTTTTGCTGGTAATTTTCAAACAAAAAAGGCTGTGTTTAAAGTTTCAATGAAATTACGATACAAAGTCATTCTTGCAGTCACTTTAACAATAACAAACTAATGTTCTTTTTTGATTTTTGTTAGAGAGCAAAGGAAATTGGAATTGGCATTGGCATTGGAACAAAATCGTTTGACTTGAGAAACTTGAGCTGTGAAGAAATCGACTTGACTCAAGACATTCGAACCAAGATACCATTCGAATGTCCTCTTAAGGAGACAAGAATCTTAAGAATCTTGAAGACAAGAATCTTAAGACAAGAATCTTATGAGGACAAGAGTCTTAAGGAGACAAGAGTCTTAAGGAGACAAGAATCTTAAGAATCTTGAAGAGAAGAATCTTAAGAATCTTGAAGACAAGAATCTTAAGAATCTTGAAGACAAGAATCTTAAGACAAGAACCTTAAGAAGACAAGAACTTAAGAAGACAAGAACTATAAGAAGACGAGAGTCTTAAGGAGACAAGACTTAAGAAGACAAGAATCTTATGAGGACAAGAGTCTTAAGGAGACAAGAATCCTAAGAATCTTGAAGACAAGAATCTTAAGAATCTTAAGAAAACTTCTTAAGAGTTTGAACTCACAGAAAACCTAATGATGTTGAACTCACAGGTCAAGCCAAGTTCTCAAGTCAAGTCGAATGTTGAGAAACCTGAAACTTAAGTTCTGAGTTTGATTAAAAGGAGAAAACCGAGCAAAATCGAGTGTTTGTCAAAAATGGGCACTTTTATACCCGGAAAACTTCCTTTCCATCAAATGATGTGCTTTTAAAAAACGATACTAAAATTGAAAAACGGTACTCATTCAGTTTGGAGCAATTTTCGATCAGAAGGAAGAAAGAGAAAGAGAAGAAAGAGAAAGAGAACAAAGAGAGATTTTAAAAGAGAAAACCCCAGCAAATCGAATGAATTATCAAGATTAGATCAAGATAATCGAAGAGCATTTGATTCAAATGCTTAGCTTGTTTAAAGCAAGAGACTTTGGCTGGCTATGGCTTAATGAAAGAGATGTTGGCTGGCTCAATGAAAGAAATGTTGGCTGGCTTAAAGAAAGAGATGTTTCGAGTTTTCTAGGGCCAGCGATAAGATCGTCAAGTCAATTCTTGCAATCAATTCTTAAGCTTTCTTGCAGTTAGATGAAAATTTCATATCAAATCAGGGCAAAGATAGTTCTAGTTTTACCAACTAAAATATTAAAGCTACGAGATTGAATGAAATGCTTTAATGGCTTAAAAGCAAGCAGTCTCAATGCCCTTATAAGCTAGCCTCAAAGCTAGACACTCAAAGTTCAACTATAAAAACAACAAGGGTAAAAATGAGCGCAAATTAGATGGGAAAAGATATTTTGCGTCTATCGGGAAAATAAAAAGGAAAAAGCTCTTGACTGGGCTTATCATCAAGAAGATTTTCTCTCAATTCTTCTCTTTTCCTCCCGTTCTTCTGAAGGAGTTCTCTCGACTTTTCCCCTTTTGATTCCCTTATCATTCGGCTAATTGTATGAATGAGGAAAGGGGATTCCGAAAATGGGCAAAATGTGGGCAGGGTATCACTCAACTGCTTTCGGGTCACAAATCATAACTCCAATCAAAACAGAAAGACAGAGAGATTCAAAAAGATTCACGCCGGAAATCACAATCGATTGTGGAGCATTGGAAACTGTTCTTCTTGATCGATTATTACCCTAAAGTCGCGAGTATAAGTTCTGTTTGGTTTTCGCATGCAAATTGACGGCTGAGACAGCTGAGACGGTGCGGTGTGTCGAGGGTTCGAACCCCGCTGCAGCATAACTTTTTTGCTTTTTAAGAACAATAGAAGTAAACAAATAGAAGTAAATTTATTGAGGTTTATAGCAATTTTATGCTGTTATTTGTTGCTCCGGGCGTGGCTCGGCGCGTCCGCCCTGCTCCTCTCCGGTGCTTGCTTGCTTGCTCAGTCTTATGGATCCCTCCCTGGCCTCTTCATCCGGCCAAAGTCCACGTCGACGGTCGAAAGAGATGCCTTTCAAGCGTCTTCTTCAACACTATCGTCTGGATGTATCCATGCACATAACAAATAGCAATGGTTATAGGCTGTCACCCTGTAGTATCCCAGCGCTCCAAGAACAATAATAAGAAGTTTATATAACAATAAAAATGTATAAAAACCCAACAAAAAGAAATTCAAAGCAATTAAAGCGAATGTAAATTAAGGCAGAACTTATACTCGGATCAACTTATACTCGAGACTTTAGGGTACCAAAAAAAATGCGTTTAGGGTAGATATGTTAACTCGGTTCGTTTTTCCGTTCGTTTACCGTTCGTTTATCATCCGAAATCGACGCATTTTGCTCGTGTCTTAGCCGGATTTCTTTGAAAAAACGTTGAATTTCCTTTCATTCGATTTGAAATCAAATTTTCTACCAAATGAAAGCAAATTCAACGTTCATTGGTTTGATTGGTTCGAGACGAAAGCTACAGTAACTCGACAGAACTTGAAATCGTTTCTAGATTTCCAGAAACTCTCAAATCAATCACTAAAGTAAAAGAATCGAATTGAAATCTGTTCAAATGTTGAAATTAATCCTGAAATAAAACTTTTCGCTCGAATTTCCCCCAAATGGTTTCGACCAAATATTCCAGGAATTGAAATTTCAAAATTCAATCACCTTTACTCAAACTTGAAACCTTTAATTTTTCACTGGCTTTTAAAATCGTGTAACTCGGTTCTCTTTTAAAATCTTCTAGTTTAAAATCTTCTTTTAAAATCTTCTAGTTCTCTTCAAAAGCTTTTCAAATAATGAGTAAAGAATAACTGATTTTTTTTAGTTACTTCCAGACGTCAGTTAGTTTTAGTTAGTTTTTTTTCGTTAGTTCCAGACGGTGTTCCAATTAAACACACCACCTTTAATTGAAGATACTCAAACTTGAAACCTTCACTTTTTAACTGACTTTCAATATTGTTTTTCAAAAAAACACGACTTTTTATATTGAAAAGCTTTTAAATTCTTAAATTTTAAAATCATTTCTTAAATTTTCCACTGTAGAAATGAACTTGAAGCTTCTTTCTTGAAGCCTTGAAGCTTCAAGCTTTCTTGAAGCCTTGAAGCTTCAAGCTTTCTTGAAGCTTCCCTTTGCAAATTTTGTGCTTGACGCTGTTCAAAAAGCTCAAATTTTTCAACCAAAGCATTTATCAAACTTTTGGTATGGTTAAAAAGAGCTTTTGTCAATTAAAGATCAATGTTTGAAAAGAAAAACAACTAAAAACAGCTAAAAACAGCTAAAAGCAGTCAAAAACAGCTAGAAACAACTAAAAGCAGTCAAAAACAACTAAAAACAGCTAAAAACAGTCAAAAGCAGTCAAAAACAACTAAAAACAACTAAAAACAGCTAAAAGCAGTCAAAAACAACTAAAAACAGCTAAAAACTTTTTATTTTGACAAGTTTTGATGAAAGAAATGATTAAGCTTTGATTAAGCATCAGTACCGAGTCAAATTTGATGTTTTCACGTTCTTTTAACTTCAAATTTATTAATATACTTTTTTTCGTGAGATTTTTAAGAAAACAGAAGATTTATTGCATGAGCACTGGTAAAGAAAGGGTAAAAATTGAAACTGTTTCTTGCAAATCTTTGAAAACTGAACTGGCCCGGGAGGCGATCATGATTGGTTCGAGACGAAAGCTACAGTAACTCGACAGGACTGTAAATCGTTTCTAGATTCTTCTTGGTCTAGTAATCTAATCCTTGGTCATCGTTGATCATCATTAAACTTTCAAAGTTGTTTTTTTTACGTGCACAAAGCTCACGAATTATCAAATGATCCTGGACAAGGAAAGGCGATAAATTGAAACCTGGTTTTTTAGCTAAAACTTTGCAAGCTTTGCAGGCCTTGCTTTGCAGGCCTTGCTTTGCAGGCCTTGCTTTGCAGGCCTTGCTTTGCAGGCCTTGCTTTGCAGGCCTTGCTTTGCAGGCCTTGCTTTGCAGGCCTTGCTTTGCAGGCCTTGCTTTACAAGCCTTGCTTTACAAGCCTTGCTTTGCAAGTCTTGCTTTACAAGCCTTGCTTTACAAGCCTTGCTTTGCAATAAATGCAAACAAATCTTCAAGAAAACAATATCGAAATGAACTGAAAATCTTTTTATTCACGAAATTTCATCGATTGAATCGACCCTCACTGTTCCTTGTCTTTTATATTCTCTGTACATCGATGAGGCTGTGGCGGCTGCTTGGGTTTGTTGAGTCGATGATCGGTCGTCGATTTGACCCGGGATTTCGAGACCTGTAATTTTTAATTTGATATTTTTTCAATCCAAAATTTGTTCCTTTAATTATTGGTCTTTTTAAACATTTATTTCATGAATGAATTGAAGAAAAATTGGAGACAAGATTAGGGTAGAAAGAGGAAAAAACGTTAAGAAGTTAAGAAAACGGAAAGTAAATTCTTGTCAGCTCCGAGCCAAACTGATATTTTAGTTACTATTGTTATTATTGAATGATTTGTCTATTCTTATGCAAATGTGTCCTCCCCTGTGCTTATCCCTTTTATTGCCGAGATGGGGCGGTCCTTGGGATTGCCTAGGAGGACAGTGAGGAGCCTAGAAGGACAGTGAGGAGCCTAGAAGGACAGTGAGGAGCCTAGGAGGACAGTGAGGAGCCTAGGAGGACAGTGAGGAGCCTAGGAGGACAGTGAGGGCCTAGAAGGACTAGGAGCCTAGGAGGGTGGGGCCTGGGAGGACAGTGGGGCCTAGAAGGACGTGGGGCCTGGAGGACAGTGGGGCCTAGGAGGACGTGGGGCCTAGAAGGACGGTGAGGGCCTGGGAGGGACTGAGGGCCTGGAGGACAGTGGGGCCTAGAGGAATGGGGCCTGGGAGGACAGTGAGGAGCCTGGAGGACATGGGGCCTAGAAGGATAGTGAGGCCTGGGGACAGTGAGGAGCCTAGAAGGACAGTGAGGAGCCTAGGGGACAGTGGGGGCCTGGGAGGGACAGTGAGGGCCTGGAAGGACAGTGGGGCCTAGGAGGACGTGGGGCCTAGGAGGACAGTGAGGGCCTAGAAGGATAGTGGGGCCCTGGAGGACAGTGAGGGGCCTAGAAGGACAGTGAGGGCCTAGGAGGACAGTGAGGAGCCTGGAGGACAGTGAGGGCCTAGAAGGATAGTGGGGGCCTAGGAGGACATGAGGGGCCTGAAGGACAGTGAGGGGCCTGGGGGACAGTGAGGGCCTGGGAGGACGTGGGGCCTGAAGGACATGAGGGCCTAGGGAGGACAGTGAGGGCCTGGGAGGACAGTGGGGCCTAGAAGGATGTGGGGGCCTGGAGGACAGTGGGGCCTGAAGGACGGTGAGGAGCCTGGGAGGACGTGAGGGCCTAGAAGGACAGTGAGGGCCTGGAGGACAGTGAGGGCCTAGGAGGACAGTGGGGCCTAGAAGGACAGTGAGGAGCCTGGAGGACAGTGAGGGCCTAGAAGGACAGTGGGGCCTGGGGGACAGTGGGGCCTAGAAGGACAGTGAGGGCCTGGGAGGACAGTGAGGAGCCTAGAAGGACAGTGGGGCCCTGGGAGGACGTGAGGGCCTGAAGGACAGTGGGGGCCTAGGGAGGACAGTGAGGGCCTAGAAGGACAGTGAGGGCCTGGGAGGACGGTGAGGGCCTAGAAGGACGTGAGGGCCTGGAGGACAGTGGGAGCCTAGAAGGACGTGAGGGCCTGGAGGACAGTGGGGGCCTAGAAGGACAGTGAGGGGCCTAGGAGGGACGTGAGGGCCTAGAAGGACAGTGAGGGCCTGGAGGACAGTGGGGGCCTAGAAGGACAGTGAGGGCCTGGGGGACAGTGGGGCCTAGGGGACGTGGGGCCTGAGGACAGTGAGACTCTCATTTGGAGTCCCCCCTTCCCCTTACACTTATTTGTAATCTATCCGTCTTATTATACTACTGTAAATAAAGATACATATCTTCCGGGTCTATGCAACTGCAGTACAGGTCGGTCATTTCACAGGGACTCCCCTCTAATACGTTGGAGGAGTTGAGTTGGGTTGTCGGGGCGTTAGAGATGGCGCGCCATGGCGGGATATCAAAAGGGATCCACTCTCTTTAACTTAACCCAAATTCTAGTCCACATCCGTTTATACCTAGGAACGAATAATGCCGTTTGATTTTGACGCCGTTCAAAATGAACAAACAACATTTTACTTCAATTTAGCTTATTCAATGTCTTTCACGGGCAATGAAAAGACTTGAGAATAAAACATTTTCTGATTTTAGTTACATTTCTGCGCGGCTTTTAAATTTTGAATCTTTAATAGTTAATAGTTTGAATAATAATAGTTAATAATAATATAATAGTATAATAATAACCAGCCAATGCTTTGAGACTGACGTCTAGTTTGATTTCTCGAGTTAAAGGACGCTCGCGGCGTTCTGCAACAATACAGCAATCTAGCTCTTAATCTTTCAAAGCAAATATCGGGACTAATCCTGATACCATCCGCAGCAATAATGATATCTATCCCGGGTGCGCTCGACACGACTTTTTCACGTCACGACACGACTCGACACGACACGACACGACACGACAAACTCGACACGAGTTTGTCGAAATTGGTCCATGTGGAGCCGAGATCCAGAGTGTGACGGACAGAGAGACGGACAGATACTTCTCTTTTATATATATATGTTACTTCCGAATCTGAGGAGACCTCCATCTCCGATCCGGACGTCCGAATCTGAGGAGATTCATTCTCCTCCGAAACGGACGTCCATCTCTGAGTCGGACGTTCGTTTCAGAGGAGAATGAATCTCCTCAGATTCGGACGTCCGGATCGGAGATGGACGTCTCCTCAGATTCGGACTTAACATATATATGTCGTAGCCGCTTACGAAATTCAGCCGCTAACGAATGATTCGTAAACGGTTAGCCGCTAAAGAATCATTCGTTAACGGCTAGCTGCTAAAGAATCGTTCGTTAACGGCTAGCCGCTAAAGAATCATTCGTTAACGGCTAGCTGCTAAAGAATCGTTCGTTAACGGCTAGCCGCTAAAGAATCATTCGTTAACGGCTAGCTGCTAAAGAATCATTCGTAAGCGGCTAGTCGCTACGACATATATATTAGCTAATAATAATAAGTTAAATAATAAGTTAGAGTTTCAGAGTTAACATTCCGATGAGCAAACTCAACTTAAACGGTGATAAATCGAAACACAAACATTTCTTTCGCCTAATTAGATTTAGATAAAAAGGAAGCAGCTGAGTATTTTTCAAATTTTAGCCTAAAACTATCCATAAATTGTTTGTTTCTTCAAGAAAAAGCACAAATTTCCGTCAAAACACTAAAGAACAGAGAAACGCGTCACGAGATAAGAAAAAAAAGAGCTGTGATCTGTATTCTGTAGTCATTTTTGAAACTTCTCAAAAGATTTCTTATGATTTCATTGAGTGCTCAAAATTGTTTTAAGGGTCTTTATTGATTGTTTGAAATTATTTGATTGAATATTACGAATAGATGTTACGAATAGATATTACGAAGATATCTCCTCAGATTCGGACGTCCATCTCAAATTCGGACGTCCATCTCAGATTCGGACGTCCATCTCTGAGTCGGACGTCCATCTCTGAGTCGGACGTCCATCTCTGAGTCGGACGTCCATCTCTGAGTCGGACGTCCATCTCTGAGTCGGACGTCCATCTCTGAGTCGGACGTCCGTTTCAGAGGAGATATTACGAAGAGTTACCCGTTTGCGGATGATCGTGTGCTTTGCTGAGAAGCCAATGCGTTTCCATTATGCCCTTTCCCTTAAAATGAAAATTAAGGCTAGTAGTGTCAAGAGAAAGACGAATAAGCTAATTTGTAATAGACGGATAAGCTTATTTTTCGGTATTTCTTACCGTAGCCTAGATAGATTTAGCACTAGATATTTTACTTTAAATTTGGCTTTCTTTTGGCTTTCTTTTGGCTCCTTTTTGATGCAACGATTGCTAGAAATAAGCTTTTAGAAATAAGTTCTTACAATTAGTTCTAAACTTTGTCATTTGTCAAGATGTACAGTATGTTTGACTGTCTGTACATCATAATGTACATCTTGACACTATTCTTAACATCATTCAAATCACCTTTATCATCACTTCTCCCCGGGATTCAGTCTCGAATTGATTCGGATACCAGTGATGGAGAAAATTCCGGGCCTCGCTCGACATATGGATCATGCTGGCTAGAATCATGCTGGCTATTGGTTTTAAAGAAAAGCTAGCTCTGTTCAACTATCTGCTCAGCTATCAGATCAGCTACCTTTGCACAACTACTGTAAATACTGTAATAGTACCCCACCCCCTCGTGCAGTCGCGTAGTCGCAAAAGTTTTTTTAGTATTTCTTTTTTTTCAAAGCGCCCGTACTTTCAAAAAATGCGTCTTTGGTATCAAAAAATAGCTGAAATTCAGGGCTATTTTTTGATACCTATTTGATACCTGTAGCATAAACTAGTGTCGAGAAAAACTCGTTCAAAGCTAGACTACGCAACACTCCGCACCGTAATTATGGAACTGGGGTACTATTACAGTATTTACGGTAGGTATTTGGAGTTTTTTTTAAAAACAATACCTTTCCCATTGCTTTCCATTCTCGACGCCGTGTTTACTGTGTCTCCAAAGAGACAATATCGGGGCATCGTTAGGCCGACAACCCCGGCCACACAAGAACCTAGAAAGTTTGAAATGTTTTAAAAAAAAAACTGCTTAAAAGCTATTCTATTTGATTAGAATCGTTGGAAAATAAGAAAAAGAAAAAAAAAGAAATTAAGATACGATTTCATTTCGGAATTACGAGTAATTTTTAAAAAATACCATCACTAACTTTGAAACATTGTTTTCTAAATCCAAAATAAATGTTTTTTCCCATTTCTTAGTTTTATAGTTAGATTGATAAAAAGATCAAAAAAATTGTTGTGAGATTAGTAAAATTTGCCACTCACCTGTGTGCAAACCAACTCGAATTTGAATCCTTTCCGTCGGTAAATGCGCAATGCGAAATGTGGCCACTTGTTTGATCAGCGAGAGCGCCATTTCACTGACTTCCTAATCCATTTTGGTAACAGATTTGATTTGTCAAAATATCATAATTGCAATTTCTCAGTCAGAAAAAAAAAATCAGTCGTAATTTTCAGTCCTTTTTTAAAGCTCGGGGTAGGCTAATTTCCGGCATTTTATTTGCGCAACAAGGTCATTTGCGCAACTCGCCATAACTTCCTTCTAAGTGGGCCAATCTTTATGGTCTTGGTTTCATTTTGTAGATCTCAATAAGTGCAACAAAATGAAATCAAATTCATAAAGATTGGTCCGCTTAGAAAAAAGTTATGGCGAGTTGCGCAAACGAACTAGTGACCCAGTTGAGCAAGTAGTAAAACTCGATCATCGATCGGCTTGACCAGCTCGATCACTCGATCAATTTGAATAATTATAACTGCATAAGATATTCAGCTAAATTCTGTAATGTTAAATTTTATTCCTTTGCGTTCTATTGGGGGGTAGGCTAATTTTTTTTGCGCAACTGGGTTTTACTTTGCGCAACTGGGTTGTACTTTGCGCAACTGGGTTGTTTGCGCAACTCGCCATAACTTTTTTTTCTAAGTGGGCCAATCTTTATGGTCTTGGTTTCATTTTGTAGATCTCAATAAGTGCAACAAAATGAAACCAAAATCATAAAGATTGGTCCGCTTAGAAAAAAGTTATGGCGAGTTGCGCAAAAGGATCCAGTCGCGCAAATGACCTGACCAAATAAAATGCCGGAAATTAGCCTACTCCTATTAGATAAATGAAGAAAATGATCAGATGGGGTAGGCTAATTTCTCATTTTATTTGCGCAACTCGCCATAACTTCCTCTAAGTGGGCCAATCTTTATGATTTTGGTTTCATTTTGTAGATCAAAGTGCAGCAAAGTGGAACCAAAATCATAAAGATTGGCCAACTTAGAAGAAAGTTATGGCGAGTTGCGCAAAAGACCTAGTTGCGCAAAAACCCTGGCGCAAAGTAGCCTATCCCGAAAGCTCGACTCACTTTAATATGCTCGTTTCCGTTTCGTCGTGGTAACCCAGAGACACACAAATACCCATCACCGATCGTTTCCACCTGTAATAAATTCTATTTTTGATTTAAAAATGAAATTTAATTGGGAAATATAATTTCAATTGAATTGTGACAAGAAAAATCGATTTGACCATGATAACTTTGAAACAAACAATTACTTCGCACAATTTCCTCAACTTTGCGGTTCATTTTGATACTTTTTTCATTATTTTTCAATCATTTCCTTCTAAGCGCTGGTTAATCCTAAAAATATGTGTTACCATATTTTCTCTAATAGTAGTGTATCCCAACGAGCCGAGTTGGTGACGATTTTACGGTTTCCAAGTTTTCCCAAAAGCTCAACACTCTAATCATCGTCAAAATCTCATCGTCAACTACATTTTCCGACCGCAAATCAATAGGTTCTGATAAGCGGTTCTCGAGATTTCGAGGAATTTGTCTAAGCTTAGGGTGCACTATTATTAGAGAGAATACGGTAATCGACTCGAACTTTATTTTAAAACATTGACGACAAAGTCATTTTTGGCTTGGCTGGCGCTTTGGACTATCGATGTTAGCGACTTGAATTGCGCTTTTTAAAAATCCAAAAGCACGTTGCCCAACTACATGTAATTCTCTATTCAATGGCGAAAAAAAATCAGTGCAAACGGTCCTCTGGGAGCTGAGGAGTAGCGCGCACAGACAGACAGACAGACAGACGTCTTACTCCCTTTATATATGCCGTATTCTCTCTAATAGTAGTGCACCCCAACGAGCCGAGTTGGTGACGATTTTACGGTTTCCAAGTTTTCCCAGAAGCTCAACACTCTAATCCCCACAAGATCTCATCATCAGCTACATTTTCCGACCTCACATCGATAGGTTCTGATAAGCGGTTCTCGAGATTTCAAGGAATTTAAGCGAAGCTTTGGGTACACTATTATTAGAGAAAATACGGTATATCTCAAAAAATCACCCATCCTTTCTACTTTAATTTGATATCAAAGCGAGCAGAAAGAAATGCACTGGTATCGAGAAATCAGCGTTTGTTTGAGAGTAAACTTAGACCCGACACTCCTATAGGGACTTATATTAGAATATTTGTGGTAGATAATTTTTCTAAAGCATTTTGTTACCTTGTAAACATCGTGTGTTTCAATGGTTCCATCGAAAATCGAGTACAGCCCGTTCAGCATGCTAACAACCTGTTGAAAAATTTTGTTTTAAAAACATCCTACTATTCATTATTACCGTAAATACTGTAATAGTACCCCAGTCCCATAATGACGGTGCGGAGTGTTGCGTAGTCTAGCTTTGAATGAGTTTTTCTCGACACTAGTTTATGCTACAGGTATCAAATAGGTATCAAAAAATAGCCCTGAATTTCAGCTATTTTTTCATACCAAAGACGCATTTTTTTGAAAGTACGGGCGCTTTGAAAAAAAAATGAAATACTAAAAAAACTTTTGCGACTACGCGACTGTACGAGGGGGGTGGGGTACTATTGCAGTATTTACAGTACGGTAAGTGAAGCCAAAGCAAATCGTTAATACCTTTGAAATATGCTTTTTTGTAAATGAAAAAGAAACACCAACTTGTAACGGCGTACATCTGGCCGCAAGAGTCGTGAAAGAGACGACATCTAAAGAAAAATTCTTGAGTTATTATCAAAAATAATAACGATATTGATTGTTTATGACGTTCAATCAATTTTTAAAAATACATTTATTCACACGAATAATGTGGTACAAACAATACACAAGGAGCAGCCTTAAGCCCTAAATGTAAGCAAGCAAAAAAAAATCAATATTGTGCTCCGGCTTCAAAGCTAGTTGTTTGCTGAGGAGCGCTCGATCGATGTGTGCATTTTCTTTAACAGCCCGCCAAATAGTCGTCTTGGAAGCATTGATTTCATCTTTGACTTCTTTGATCGACTTTCCATAAATGTTCTTCACAATTCAACGCTTTATTCGCAGAGTGAGCTTTGGCTTTGGACCCATTTGGAGTCAGCTACAGCTTTGGACCTATTTGGAATGAGTTACAGCTTTGGACCTATTTGGAGTGAGCTTCGGCTTTGGATTCCTTTGGAGTGAGCTTCGGCTTTGGACCCATTTGGAATGAGCTTCGACTTTGGACCCATTTGGAGTGAGCTTCGACTTTGGACCCATTTGGTGTCATATTCCAATTCGGTTCCAATACGGTTCTAATACGGTTCCAATACGGTTCTTTTTTTGATCCAATACGGTTCTTTTTTGGATCCAATATGGCTCTTTTTTTGTCCAATACGGTTCCAATACGGTTTGCCCATTTGGAGTCAGCTTCGGGGAGCAAAAGCGCCTTTGTTCTTGGCATATCGTTAAATCACAGCAAAAGCACAATGCATTTTTCGACCCAATTTCCGCATTGTGTCGATCTGGCCTTTTTCATTATCCGTGAGTTGATTTGATGACTCCATGAATCATTTTTTTGATGATCGTTTCTAAAATAAAGAATTTTTACTAAAATTAATAAAAACACATCATATATAAAAAAACAATAAAGGAATAAGCAAGACTTGAAACGGTCATGAATTCTTAAATGAAATTGAAACAAAATTTTTGACTACTGTACGGCGTGCAGTAATCCTTTTTAGGTATTTTTAGGGTTTTAAAACATGCTGTTTTTAATGGAAAAGGACTTTTGTTGATAGCACTTTTCGTTCTTCTTAAACAGTATTTTTAGGTGATGATCCGCAAGACTTAAAATGCACTGTGTATATAGGAAAAAAGAACCAATAACCTAGCCCATGGATTGAAGTCAAGAATTGAGCACTTGACCTCTGGCTGGCTAAGGGCTAATGACTGGCTAAGGGATGAGGACTGGCTAAGGGCTAAGGACTGGTTAAGGGCTAAGGACTGGCTAAGGACTGGCTAAGGACTGGCTAAGGACTGGCTAAGGGCCCTAAGAGACAGGGCCCTTAGCCATTCGGTCATGGCGGCCAATTAGAATCTTGAAATACATCTTGACTTTGTAAACTTTGAAACACAAACCCGAGAAAAAGATGGTGACCATTTGAAAGGATTCTGGCTGAAGCGGTTGACCGGCTTTCAGCTTTTCGGCAACTGATCTGAAATTTAACACATTCGCGACGAGGCGTTTTTTTTGCGCTACTGTCTCAGTGGACGAGGGGTGTCTCGCAAAGCTATTAGCCCCGAAATACACCTCCTATATGTAAAATTTCATGCTGAATCCGAATCTCTAATCCGAATCTAATCTCTAATATTGCTGCCTCAAAAAGATATCGACTCTTTTTATGGCTCGTGAGACAAAACGCCGCATTTCTCTTTCTCCAATGGTCCGTTTTCCACGATTTTTGTTTTATTGGATGGAGCTCAGCTATATGAACATTCCATATTAACATCATTTTTTGATAAGACTTTATCCCGAAAAGTTATGGCAGTTTTACTGGGATACGCGCAATTGAGGTCTTCTATAGCGCAGTCGGTAGAGCATCTGTCTCTGAGGCGGAAGGGATTTCATCCGGTGGACCACAATTTCGTCCACCGGTGGACCGAATCGTCCCGAGCGTGTTAAAGAATACATTTAGTTGCGGGTTCGAACCCCGCTAGTGCATATTTGTTGGCTTTTTCTGAAAACATGCCATAAACATTCCAATTGAACTCTTCAGAAATCAGAAAATCCTTCAGAAGTCAGAAACTAATATTACAGTACACTCCAAATTACAAGAACTGGACAAAAAGAAAAGAAGAAAGAAGAGTGCTTTTTTATGAACAATTGGCAATTAGCTGAAATTTTTGATCGAATTTTGGCAGCAAGCAGCAAATTTTCAAGGTTTTTGAAATAAAGGTGTTTTTCTCAGAGTCGCGCTCAGTTTTTTTGGCTTTTAAAATCCAGAAACTCAAGTATTTTCAAAAACTAATATTATGTTTTTGATTTAGAGACTCTGGGCTATCTTTTGAGCTAAAAAAGTTTTCTTGATCTTATCTCTGGACTGAGATACAAAGGTCTAAAGAAAAACTATGCTAAAAACATCAAATTTTGAAGAAAAACGGCTGAAAGAATTAAAAAACAAATGGGAGATCTTAAAGATAATAAAAAGTTGACCGTTTAACGTTAAACTTTTAGCTCAATTTTAGCTAAAGTTGAAACTTACTTATTCAGATTCAAAAATCAATGGAAAGCTTTTGGACAGCTTTTGGGCAGCTTTTGGTTAGTTTTTGGTTAGCTTTTGGTCAGCTTTTGGACAGCTTTTGGACAGCTGTTGGTTAGCTTTTGGGCAGCTTTTGGACAGCTTTTGGACAGCTTTTGGACAGCTGTTGGTTAGCTTTTGGGCAGCTTTTGGACAGCTTTTGGACAGCTTTTGGACAGCTGTTGGTTAGCTTTTGGGCAGCTTTTGGACAGCTTTTGGACAGCTTTTGGACAGCTTTCCCTTTTGGCCGCCTTTTTTTTTTTTTTTTTGCTTTTTCCCCCTTTTGGTTCTTTTGTTGCTGTTGGTTAGCTTTTGGGCAGCTTTTGATCAGCTTTTGGTTAGTTTTTGGGCAGCTTTTGGTTAGCTTTCGGTTAGCTGTTGGTTAGCTGTTGGTTAGCTTTTGGACAGCTTTTGGTTAGTTTTTGGTTAGTTTTTGGTTAGCTGTTGGTTAGCTTTTGGGCAGCTTTTGGTTAGCTTTTAACCAGCTTTTAGCTTTTGGCTAAAAATTCGAACCCAGCTGCAGCTACTATAGCATTTAGTAGAGTACTAGATTGATTGGTAAAGTTTTAAAAAATGATTGGTAAAGCGTTTCCCCAATAAGCGGCCTTTTCTTTGCTTTATTTCATTCTTGTTGTCAGATTCAAATTTCTGCTTAAAACCCACTTCGGTAGCATTCGATAGAGCAAAAGATCGCTCTTTTTTTTCTCCTCGACCAATTGTTTCGTTCGATCTTCCACTTCTTTTTCTAGCATTTCCGCGTGCTAAAGATATTCAATTATCAGAAAAGCATATTTTTAAACTATAGGACAAAGTGCACCTGTTCCATGATGTGGAAGACGTGATCCATTAGGTTATTGTTGCTGAAATTTACGTGAACAATGAAATTTGTATATTTCTAAACAACAAACCCTCCATGGTGCATTGAGCGCATTAAATTTCGTACTTTTTCGATTGGAGGCCGATCCAATGGGTTCTCCGACCAGCAATCTGTGATCAGATGAATCTGGAAATGTCTTTTTTTTCAATAATGACAGTGTTAGCGCAAGGAAAACGACTTTAATTAAACGTGGAGCCACTTTAACAGCGATCTTTTCATCACTTGTAAACCAACAGTCATGTGTCTACAGTCATGTGTCTACATCATGTGTCTACGTGTCAAACCTACAGTCAACCTACAGTTCAACACTCAATTTTCTAAAAAATTTCATCGATTTTCATCGAAGAACATCGAATATTATTAAATCTTTACCATTGATGGATTCATGTCCATGATGTGTTCGAGTGTGAGCTCAGGGCGAATAGGTGGATGGGCGCCACGTTTCAACATGTACAATAGCTCTGAAATTGATTGAATTTATAAAACATGAAAAGTAAAAGAAAAAGAAGTAAGAAAAAGTACAGTCTTTCTAACGGAGAAGTGAAAAAGGAAAAATTGCGATTCGATGCAATCTAACGCGTCTCTTCTTTCTCTTTCTATCGTAATTCGGTCGATTTTTTTTCATTGATCTTTTCCTTTTTGAATACTTAGCTTCTTGCTAATGGAAAACCTTCAAAATAAAGCTTTTCAGAAACCAGAAACTTTTAAAAGTGATTTGCAAGAGAAATGATTGGATCTAATGACAAAAATCGTATTTGATTGGGAGCTTATTCAGTTAGAGAAGACTTATTCAATTACAGATTTATTTAATTCAATGAATTTGATGGAAAGACAGTACTCAACACAATAGATGAGAATGGGACAAATGCGACCTTTTTTTTGCGCACTTGGACATTTGCGCACCTTTTTTTCCGCACCTTGCCCATTAGCGCACCTTTTTTCGCGTTTTCAAAAAGCTCTAAAAGCTAATATTCTAATATTAACCAATTTCTATTCCAAAAGTTGTTTTTCTAGGTAATTTGAGGGCGTAGAATTCAAATTTTGACATAACAGAGCATGCGAAACCAATTTGAAAGACAAAACGGCTAGGTCAAATTACAGAAAATGAACAGAATGATTTTTTCTTTGTATAACTCTGTCCGTTTGTTTCCACAAGCTCTGGTATGTCAAAATTTCGATTCTACGCCCTCAAATTACCTAGAAAAACAACTTTTGGAATAGAAATTGGTTAATATTAGAATATTAGCTTTTAGAGCTTTTTGAAAACGCGAAAAAAGGTGCGCTAATGGGCAAGGTGCGGAAAAAAAGGTGCGCAAATGTCCGGGTGCGCAAAAAAAGGTCGCATTTGTCCCACTCTCCAATAGATTGATTAATTGATTTGAGAAAAACTCATTGCAAATGACAAACCATCAGTCCTTTCCTTTCTTTTCTCAATATCCCATGGCGGAGTTCGCATGACAATCTCCGAGCAAATAATCCCATAGCTGTAGACATCGCCCTGGATTCGTTCATGAATAAGTTTGAATAAGTTTGAATAATAATAATAATGTTAATAAGTTTTTATATTTCATAAGAAATAAGTGTAAAAGTTGTTTATGCTAAGAAAGATCAAAATTAGCTTGAAATTAGAGAATGATAGATCAGGAGGAGTCATTATCAATAGAAACAACAGTTTTACCTCAAAAAACTTGAAACATTCATTTGTTCATTCATTCATTCATTCATAATAGCTTTTTTAAGCTAATCAAGCCTGAATTAGCTTGAAATTCGAGAATGGTGTATCAGGAGGAGTAATTATCAACAGAAACAACGGTTTTACGTCAAAAAACTTGAAACATTCATTTATCTAATAGCTAATCAAGCTTCAAGCCAATCAAGCTTCAATTCAAGCTAATCAAGCTTGAATTAGCTTGAAATTCGAGAATGGTGTATCAGGAGGAGTAATTATCAACAGAAACAACTCTTTTACCTCAAAAAACTTGAAACATTCATTTGTTCATTCATTCATAATAGCTTTTTCAAGCTAAACAAGCTAATCAAGCTTGAATTAGAGAATGGTATATCAGAACAAGTAATTATCGACAGAAACAACTGTTTTACCCCAAGAAACTTGAAACATTCATTTGTTCATTCATTCATAATAGCTTTTTTTTAAAGCTAATCAAGCCAATCAAGCTTGAATTAACTGGAAATTCGAGAACGGTATATCAGACCAAGTAATTATCAACAGAAACAACTCTTTTACCTCAAAAAAACTTGAAACATTCATTTATCTAGCCTTTTTTTCAAGCCAATCAACCTTTTTTGAGTAATTTTTCAAGTGTTTCAAGTGTTTTAAATGTTTGAACTTATTCAAAAGCTTGTAATTATTTTTTTGAATATTTTTTTTTGCAAATTTACTGTTTAAAAATTTACTTCTGTAGTCCGAGCGGCCTCTGGTTGTCTCAAGTGCTCGGGAGCTGTCCAGAGAAGTTCTGAAAGCGAAAAAATAAGTGGTAATTTAAGAAATTCGAGTAGAATTTTATACTTATTAAATGATCTTTTGAAACTTTCATTGCTAAACTTCAATATTTTAAACCTTTTTTCGTCATTCGATGGCACATTTGAACGGTTCGGAGTCCGTAGAGACTGATCTTCACTTGCCATCTAGAAAATCAAATAAAATGTTTCAACTTTCAATCCAACTTTCAAAATCAATCCCAAATCTACAACTGAATTAAATTAGATTTCAACTAATTTTATTACATTTAAATCAATCTGCTAATTATTGGATTGGTGAATTGAAAACTGCGGGCTATCGACATATGTGGCAGTTTGAGCACTTTCTTCAAAAGAAACCCATTTTGGTGTCAATGGAAAAGTTGTAGAGAATCAAAAATCAAGCTTATATCCAAATTTTCAGAACGATTCAAAAACTGGTTCTCAAGAAATGCCAAATTTACGAATTTTCACAAAACTTGCATTTTAAGCGAAACTACTAAGTGTATCTTTTTGGAAATTTGGCTATAAGCCTAATTTTTGATTCTCTACAACTTTTCTATTGACACCAAAATGGGTTTCTTTTGAAGAAAGTGCTCAAATGCTCAAACTGGGACATCTCCAGTCCTCCATTTTTGAGTCTCAAACTTGTCTCACACACAAACCACACACAAACCAAAATCCTACTACGAAAGAGGAATCCGCAAATTGCCTGTAAAATGGGCAGAAGTCGTCAATAATAATGGAAATTATTTGGAATGAATTGATGGTTTTATGTTCAATAAATTTTGGTTCAAAGTCCCGCAGTTTTCAATTCACCAACCCAATAATTTCATTACATTTAAATCAATTTGCTAATTGGAAAAGTTTTGGTTTTAAATTTTGGATGACTTTTTTGAGGATCACTGCCGTTAGTCCGTTCAATGAAGTTAATTAACGTAAAGAAAATAGTAATAGATCATAAGAAATAAGATTAATACAATGCTGGCTGTGTTTAAACGCGAAAATTTGTTCATAGATGATCGGGGAATCCTTAATTGTTCCTGTCTCCTACCTGTCGTCGACTAAGCAACACTCAGAGCTGAGATTTCCGTGCATGTGAACGGAGGATCGATGGATGAAGGAGAGACCCTGGAGATATAAAGCTTTTTTTATAAATTCAAAGTCTAAAAAGTTTAAAATTCTTTAAATTCTTTAAATTCTTTAAATTCTAGTAAAAGTAGCCTTGATCAAATCCTTTTTAACCCATTCGAAACTTCTGCAGCGAATAATCGCTGCAGCAAAAACTCAGGAACGGACCGCTGCAGCGATTATTCGCTGCAGCGCTAATTGAGCTATTTTCATTCAATTAATTGCTTTTTTTTGCTGTTTTTCAGCATTACATGTATATTCCAATTGTAGCAGATCTACAAATTATGTGGGCAAAAAAGATGTTTCATATTTACCCGGAATCAATGCAGTCTCTGGTTTTGCATTGAAATGTTCCATAATAGCTCTAATCTTATAAAGCCGATCTCCTGCAGGATCCAGTTCATTATCACAAAAACGCCGGTTGCGAAGAATAGATTCAAATTTTGCTCTTGACATAATGTGGGACATGTGGGAAAATCCTCCTAATCCAAGCCTGCTACTCCAGTAGTCACGAATCCTCGGTAATTTGACGATTCCCATTTGAAGCCAGGAAGAGCTTGAAAGATTTTGCATCAAAATCCTGCCAGTTTGTTTTCCTTTTTTCCATGTTTATTAGATTCGCCTACTAAAATATTGTCGTCGATAAAATAAGAAGAATAATCGATAGGATCTTGAAAAGTACTGAAGTCAAATCCAAATCGTTCTTCATCAAAAATAAATGGTGTAGGAGACTCTCTTACATCTTTCCAATCATAAATAAACTGCTTCGGAGTCAAAAATGTCAAAAAAGGGCTTGGTCCGTAGACGAAAAAAAAGAAAAAACGCTGCGGTTTCGAATGGGTTAAACTCAGAAAAAGGTAAAATATCGGAAATTCATTCTTACAAAAGTAGAAACCATCTTTTTTATGTTTCTTTCATTTTGTAACTTTCGTGATTCTTTATTCTATATTCTACATTGTCTGTTCTTCTTCTTTTTCTTCTCCTTCTTCCCCTTCTTCTCCTTCTTCCCCTTCTTCCCCTTCTTCCCCTTCTTCCCCTTTTTCCCCTTCTTCCTCTTCTTTCCATACCTTCTTTGGTATGTTTCCATACGAAAAGCTAACTCTAACCACTGTGTTTCTTTAGTTTAGTCATTTCAAGCCTAGACTAGAGAGCCCGTCCCTCGAACCGCTCGATTCTCCGACTTCAGATCTCACTCATTCAGAGATCCAAGCCTTTCCCCTTCTTATCTTCTTATCCAACCCTTTCCCCTTCTTCATCCCCTCTCAACCGATTTCCAACACTCTTCTAGAAATTCTCATCCCATGTAGACCTTTTTATCTTCCGAAAATACAAGATAAATCAGTCGTTTCTTCTTGAGGACAACCGACTACTATGGAGTTATCGGTTGTGCTGCGAGTGACAGGAAAAAGTCCTCTCAATCTTTCATTCTCACTCATACACCAAAATTATCTACATCTACATAATAAAAATAAAGTCCTTAACAAGTTAAGCAAATAACTTGTCCTTGTTTTACTTTTCAAAGTCTCTACTCACTGCGGCGATATCTCTCATCAACGAGAAAACGAAGAAAGCGTCCATTCGAATCGGAGAGTGAATGAGAAGATCCTAGAAATTTGATACTTATTACAGATTTCAAAGTATCAATCAAAACTTGTTTGGTAAGGAAGCAAATTTAGAGAGATAAGGAAGCAAATATCTTGCATTACAGACTACAAGGACAAAAACTAAACGCAGATTCGAACTCAGCGTAGTCGATTCTATAAGATGGATTTGATTTCGTTTCAAAAGGCCACGGAAAGTGCTTGTCTTTCTTTAATGAGCGCCAAAAAGAGGCACTTATTTACCTCAGTGTAAAATATTCGCGCTTATCATTCAACTAATTGTGAATCATTCTCTAAACATTTTTGCTAAACTTGTAAAGATGTTTTAAACTTATAAAATCAATTTTGAAGCCATAAAGTCTTACCCCAAGTGTGCCGCGTGAGCAATACCTCCAAACGGACATGTAGTTTTGTCCCTCAACGCAAAGCCCAATGAAACGATTCACGTTTTCGTGCTCGAAGCCTCGCATCTGAAAACTTTTCCCCGTAAACACTGTAATACTATTTTTATGCACAGAGAGCAGAAGTTTCAACGTTTCAACGTTTCAACGGCTACGCGTCAATACGGGCTCACTCAATTACTCAAGTTATTCATTTTTTTTATATTCAAATTAACGGTATCGAGAACGAGTATCGGTATCGAGTCTTCGTAAATAAAACTATGTTTCAAAATTCTGAAAATTATTGGGTTGTCCAGTTTGTGAATGCGCGTCTTTTACTATTTTGTAAATTTCTCAAGGTACCGAAATCGAGAAAATGATATATATGAGTATTATTCGAAAGCTGAGGATCACCTCTACATTTTGATATAAAAACGTTTTTGAATTTGTTCAGCTTTTGGGCAAATTGACTGCACAGAAGACGAGGTGGCCAAAAAATGGAAGGGTGCCTTTGGATCAAGTTTTGGCTCCGCTCAAATTGAGTTAACCGTTTGATGTTTGGCGAATAGATATATCGATACAACTTTTTTAAAAATATAACAATTTCAGAGCATCTTTTTTTTCTGGGCGGTTATTTTACACCATAAAACTTGAGGAATAGCTAAGCTGGAATTTTTTTTTTCGAAAACGACCTCTCCCTTTGTGCAGTCAATTTCCCAAAAAGTTGCATGAATTCAAAAACTTTTTTATTCCAAAATGTAGAGGAGATGTTCAGCTTTCGAATGATATATAACACTCATATACATCTGTTCGATAGCTTGAGAAATTTACAAAATAGTAAAAACGCGCATTCATAACTGGACAACCCAATAGAAAAAGATAAAAACAAAACCAGAACCAAAGGAAAAACTATTTTTACATTAAAGTAAAGAGTATTTAGTTGAAGAAGCTGATCGTGAAGTCAAGTGAGTGTCAAGTCAAGTTTCCAAAGTCTAGGGATCAGCTTCGAGCTTGTGATTAATCTCTTGTGATTGCAAAATTTCATTTTCCTAATACGCAAGCGAATATCCACGGTGTTTTTGGATCTAAAAAAAATCCCACAAACATTTCTCATCTCGAGGCAATCGGCTTTCTCGATGCGGGGTTTCCCCGAGTGTTTCACGCAAAGCACTCGATCGCGTTGATGTGTGTAGGCGAGGAATTTCCCTGAATATCACTTTTTTTCTTCACACATTCATTGCTAATCTTGTTACTCATCAAATTTGAAAGCCTTCCAGCTGCCGTACTGAAATTTGTATCATTGTTCAAATGTTATAGATCACCTTGATCAGAAAAACATTACGAAATTACGAAATTTCCAATGTTTATTCCAATTTCCAATTCTTAGCACCGATAAAATGAAACAATTTACACAAATTTTAAGTTTTAAAATCTTTTTTCAATTAAAATAAACTAAATTTGATATTGGAAACGATTTCTGGGACTTTCTAGAGAGTCTTGAGTCTAGCGAGAGTCTAGAGATTTGATAAAAACACAAAAATTTGCTGATTTTGGTATAAACTAGTTTCTATTCAAATACTAGGTACAGTACCGGACAATGAAATATTATATTCGAAAAAACGATCGTCACTTTCGCGCGTCTGTAACTCCCTTGTCTTTGAGTTTAAACAATTAGTGCTATACATTTTCTGAAAGCTCTTTTCAAGGGCTACACAATGGTAATATTAATATTTAGAAATACGATAAAGAAAAGGGAGTTATAGACGCGCGAAAGTGACGATCTTTTTTCAAATATCATATTTCATTGTCCAGTAGTGTAAATGCATAAGAAATGCGGATTTCAACATTTTCATAAATTTCCAACGATAGAAACCTGATATCGACGAATGTTATACTATTTGAATGTAAACTATTTGAAAGTTGTAAATCTCCTCTACAAAATAGGCTAAAACGTGTTTCAATTGATTGAAGAAATTGAAGAAATTTCGAGGGCGAAATGCGAGTGACCAAAAAAGGAATCGAGTCACTTTTGGGACAAGTTTAGTGTGCTCAAAATAGAGTTAGCTTCCCAAAGTTGAAGATTTTAAACAAAAATTGTTTCAATTGATCGAAACGTTGAAGAAATTTCGAGGACGAAACGCGAGTGATCAAAAAAGGCCACTTTTTGAAAACCTCGGTTTAACAAGAGTTCCGTTTTGACTATATAGTGGAAAATGAGATAGAATCATGATTATTTCAAAAAGTCAACGCTTTCTTTAGCCAAGTCAATTCAAAACTTAATTTCTTTTTAATACTAGCTTGGTGCAAATGAAATTTCGTTTTTTTACAAACATTAAAGTCATCCAAAATTTTTTTTGATAACAATTTATTTAAAACAATAAGCACCATTATTATCTATGACATCTCTCCAACGTTGCTACAGATTGCGGATCCCCTTCTCAAAGAACGCTTGATTCTGTGATGCAAAGTAGTTGGTCACCCAATTTTCGACTTCTTTTGCATTCTTAAACTGGCAATTCTCAAGGGAATGTTGCATCGATCTGAAAAGGTGAAAATCGGAGGGTGCTAAGTCTGGACTATACGGCGCTGGTAAGACCTTCCATCCTAGCTTCTCTAGTTCCTTACAAGAGGTTTTTGCCGTGTGAGCTGGAGCATTATCACGGAGAAAGTTGATAGTTGAGGGATTTAGGCCTTTTTCACGCAAAATTTCGTCAACCTTCTTGAGTTGTTGAATAAAATAAGATGAATCGACTGTTTTTCCGGGCTCTAATAATTCAAAATGAACAAGTCCATTGATATTCCACCAGCAAGACAACATCACTTTGCGCCCATGATAATCCGGCTTTGGAGTTGGAATTGGCGCTTGACCTTTGCTCAGCCATTGTCTTTTTCGAGAAGTATTATCAAAGTGAATCCACTTCTCATCCATCGTCAAGATATTCTCAAAAAAAATGGCTTCTTTTCGACTTCTGGAGCAAAATATGGCTGATCGGAACGCGTGCTCCCAGATTCTCAACACTCAATTGATGTGGAACCCATTGTCCATTACGATTTGTCTTTCCAATTATTTCCAAATGGCGTACAATTGTTGAATTGGAGATGTTTGGCAAGTTCTCGTGTTGTTTGCATTGGATCAGCTTCAATTAATTGTTCCAATTCATTGTTGTCGATGGCTGTGGCACGATGTCCATGCGATTCGTCTTCAAGGGATTCATTACCATCTCGGAATTGGGCAAACCAGAGCTGGCATGATCTTTCGGTGATAACCTGTTCTCCAAAGGCGGAACAGAGATCACGATGTGAATCAGCAGCGTTTTTGCCCATTTTGAAGTCATAGAGAAGACACGTGCGTGCAGAACATACTTTTGATCCACCATGATCTAAAGCAAAAATCAATTAAAAAGTGAAAGCTCTGACTTTGAAAAAATGCGAAAATAAAGTAAATATCCAAGAGTACAAATGCACAAAAGAACATCAAATAAGCTCTTCAGATTAAAAAAATAAGAACATTTTATATCGACCGAAATTTCTTTTGCACCAACCTAATAAAAGCCCTGATTTTCACTTTTACTAGAAGGATTTGGATTTGATTTGAAAGAACAAAAAAAGCCAACTCTTGCATTGTGAGATTTCTGTAGTTGTTCCCATTTTCTCACCCGGTTTCCCTGGTTTCTCCTGCTCGCTGACAGTGCTGTCGCTATGAATTGAGTGCTTGCTCTTGCTGGCACTAAATTAAAACAAAAATTGATACAAAAATTGAATCATCATTTATTGTATTAGGTCCTTGCAAAAGAAACTGCGGATTATAACCAACATTTGAACAACCCAAAAATCAATAAGAAAATAACTTTATTCCAAAAGATATTTGCCATTATTATCAACTATGTTCTTACATTTTTTTGTCTAGACTTCGGATGTTCGGGATCCCGCGATGCAAAGTAGTCTTGCACCCAAATTTCGACTTCTTCAGGATTGTTAAACTTTAGCTTTGCAAGAGAGTGTTGCATAGACAGGAACGAGTGGTAATCTGAGGGAGCGATATCAGGCGAATAGAGCGGATGAGGCACAAGTTTCCAACCTAATTCTTCTATGGTGTTTTGAGCCAAGTTTGATGTGTGTACCCGGAAATTGTGAGCGAATAAATGGATTGTCTTTGGATTAACACCTCTTTCTCGTAGAATTTCATCAACTTTCTTCAGCTGTTCGGCGTAGATTTGAGAAGTTATAGTTTTTGAAGATTTTTGTATTTTAAAATAAACGATTCCTTTCATATTCCAAAAGACCGACAGCATAACTTTCTTTCCGTGAAGTTCTGGATGTGATGTCGGAATCGGCCTTTCTCCTTTGCTCAACCATTGTCTTTTGCGTGTTGTATTATCGAAATATATCCACTTTTCGTCCATCGTCAATATGCTTTCAAAAAAAAGCACTGCCCGTAGCCTTTTTCAATAAAATCCGAGACAATAAAACTCGATTGGCTTTGTTTTCAGGGGAAAATTCATGTGGGACCCATTGGCCACAACGATTCCTTTTTCCAATAAGCGGAAGGTGTCGAGAAATTGTGCTCGAATCACATTTAAAGTATTCGGCTAATTCGGGCAAAGTTTGAGTTGGATCCAACTCGACAATCTCCAGCGACTCCGCATTATCGAAGACAACTGGACAATATCCATCTTCCAAGCTGCCATCCCCTTCACGAAAACGTCGAAACCATTCCTGGCAAGTCCTTTCACTCAAAATGTTTCCTCCGAATGTTTCACAAAGATTCCGGTGCGACTTCGATGCTGATTTCTTCATTTTGAGGTCATAGAGAAGGCACGCTCGCAACATGAGTTTTTGATCCGTCATCTTCTACCGAAGATTATGTAATATTTAATGATAGCAATAGTTGTGAAAATAATTAAAATGAATAAGCAATAATAATACAATATAATACAATTTAAAACGGACCATCACACTTTCAAATAAAAAAAACTTTGGTCCTCGGAAGTAATCCGCAGTTTCTTTTGCAAGTCCCTAATAGAATCAACTTGAAACAAAAAAATCGAAATTGAATTGAAATCGAATCGAAACTCACAACTTTGGTGCGGCGCTCACTTTTGTGAGTTGTTGATGAGGGATTTGCCAGATCAGCATTAAACGTTCCTCTTCTTTGATTCGAGATCTGAAAAAAAATTCGAGATTAAATCAATTTCACTTTTTAATTTCAATCCATTTTCACTTTATAATGTAGATTGTGCCGAGGATGACGGCAAAAACAGCAACACTGAGAATGGCTGCAGCAACGATCACATAAACACCATAAGCGTCCATGAATGACGGCTAAATATTGGGTTGGTGAATTGAAAACTGCGGGCTATTGTCATATGCGACAGTTTGAGCACTTTTTTCAAAAGAAACCCATTTTGGTGTCAATGGAAAAGTTGTAAAGAATCAAAAATCAAGCTTATATCCAAATTTCCAAAAAGATACGCTCAGTGGTTCCGCTTAAAATTTGTGTGTTCTGTGTGTTCTTTGGGCAGCCGCGTAATCGCTCGTCGCCTGGCGCAGGGCTTTTACATAAGCCCACTCCCTCTCCTTATGGCAAAATAATCCGAGCGGCTCCGAATCCTCGAATTGGACATTGACTTCTCCGCAAATCAAGGCTAATCTCAATCTATTGGGCTGGTGAATTGAAAACTGCGGGCTATTGATACTTAATTTGAACCAAAAAAAAAAACAAAAAACACAACCATCCTTTCAAAAAAAAAAAAACCCTTCAGACAAAAGGAAAGGGCTAAAAAAGGAAAAAAAGAATTCTAGGCCGGCCCCGGTGTAGGAAAAACTCTTTAAAAATGAAAAATAGATTTTTTTGGCAAACCTAGATTTTTCTTTTGATACTTATTGGTTCATGTTTTCGTCACTCACAGGACATTTTGCCCCATCAAATCCACACAATGGAACCGCTAAAGGCGCTTCACCGCCATTCGCGAAAAACATTGACGCCTGATCGTCGATGATTGGAATGAATTGCTGAAAGTTGAAAGTTGAAAGTTGAAAGCTAATCTTTTTTAACATTTTAGAAATGTTTAATGAAATCTATTTAATTGCAAATCTATTGAAATGAATTTTTATACTAAAATTCACCAAAAAAAAGCGCTAATTTTTAAAGTTTGAATGGGGCAGGCAAATTCTGCAAATTTTTTTTGCGCAACTCGCCATAACTTTTTTCTAAGTGGGCCAATCTTTATGATTTTGGTGTCATTTTGTTGCACTTA